AAGATGTCATACTATAGCAAGACCTTAAAAGAAAAAAAAAACATAGTATAGTATAGTATGACAAAAAAAAGTTTAAAAAAATGACATAGTATAGTATGGCGAAAAAAGTGAAAAAACAACATGGTATAATAAGGCATAAAAACATCAAAAACGTCATAACATAGTATGGCATAAAGATGTCATACTATAGCAAGACCTTAAAAGAAAAAAAAACATAGTATAGTATGGTGAAAAAAGTGAAAAAAACGACATGGTATAACAAGCCATAAAAACATCAAAAACGTCATAATATAGTATGGCATAAAGATGTCATAGTATAGTAAGGTTTAAACATGTCATAGTATGGTAAGGCTTTAAGAGTGTAAGAAATGACATATTATAGTATGGGAAAAAATTGTGAAAAAACGACATGGTATAACAAGCCATAAAAACATCAAAAACGTCATAATATAGTATGGCATAAAGATGTCATAGTATAGTAAGGTTTAAACATGTCATAGTATGGTAAGGCTTTAAGAGTGTAAGAAATGACATATTATAGTATGGGAAAAAATTGTGAAAAAACGACATGGTATAACAAGACATAAAAAGAAAAAAAAACATAGTATAGTATGGTAAAAAAAGTGAAAAAACAACATAGTATAATAAGGCATAAAAACATCAAAAAACGTCATAGTATAGTAAGGTTTAAACATGTCATAGTATAGTGAGGCCTTAACGGTGAAAAAAATGACATAGTATAGTATGGCGAAAAAAGGGAAAAAACGACATAGTATAGTATGTAGAAAAAAGTGAAAAAACGACATGGTATAATAAGGCATAAAAACATTAAAAAAGTCATAATATAGTATGGCATAAAGATGTCATAGTATAGTCAGACCTTAAAAGAAAAAAAAAACATAGTATAGTATGGCAAAAAAATTAAAAAAAGTTGTCATAGTAAAAGAAGGTACAAAAAATAAAAAAAAACATCATAGTATAGTAAGCCCTAAAATGTCATAAAGACGTCATAGTACAGTAAGGCATAAGAAGTCATATGTTATGATTAGATTGATTGGACTGGATTATTGGATTACAAGTGTAGGTTTTAGCATTTAATGATAGTCCATATACTCTAAACTTTTCGTAGAACCATTTGGGACTCTCTCATCTACTGTATTGCACCTTTATTGTTGCAATATTATGACTTTAATATCAAAATCTCAGATTATTTTTGTGGCCATGAACTGCCATTGAGCCACATTGTTGCACTGGGTGACCTTCGTTACCATTAACACACACACTAGTTTATTTTTGATTCAATCTCACGTACACTGTCCTGCTGTACTAGTTCCCAGTTTGTTTGTTTTTAAATGAAACTACAAATCTGTAAGCTGTTGTTAAAGATTTATGTCTTCAGTAGGAACCAGTGGGCTTGGGGCTTGAGTGCAACAGACAGAGAGAGGAAGACATTTAGTATTGAGAGAAAGACTAACACATTGGTGCCTTTGGTCTTTCCATTGGATTTGTTGACAGTATGAATAACATAGAATAACACACACCTATTCTCTCAGATTTGTTCTGGAAAATATTAATCATTGCTCTGACTATTTTTCTACATCTTTTTTCTTTCCTTTTTTTTAGATATTATTCCTATTTCTAAATGTAGATATGATAAATGACTGTGACTACACATCTGCTGACTCTGACATGTTGGAGTAATGTGAGGATATGTGCAACTAATTTGCAGTTAATTTTATTTGAAACCGTCTCTGAATGTGTGTGTGTGTGTGTGTGTGTGTGTGTGTGTGTACGTGCATGACCAAGTCGCGGCTAATGCCTGCGTTGCCAGGCGACAATGACATGTAGGTACATTGTTTTTATCACACTCGGTCACACATGCAGACTGCCCACACAAAATACTCTATGTTAGTCTGTTCAGCCAAGCTCTGCATAAGATAACAGCACCCAAAGGATTCACAGTGTTGAAGGGTTGAGCTATCAGTGGTATGTTCAGGGACGGGGTGCGGGGGTGGGGGATAAGACCTACTTCCTGGCGGACAGGAAATTCAACTTCCTGTCTTGATTAATGGGGGTGACTGTTGGATCACAAAGGGGCACTGAGGGGCCTCCCGCACACAGAGCTCCCATATTTCACCTCAGATTTTTTTTTTCTTTTTCCTGGTTCTCAGTCATGGAGCACTTGAGAAAAAATCATCCTGTGACTAAGTCATCTTGAAATTGTGCAGATAAGATAATTTCAACATCTCAGCACATATTGTGACAGCCAGATAGCTTGTTTATTTTCCCAAGCTCCCACTACCCCCAGTGTATTTTGTTTGTGAATGCATGAGGGTCAGGATCCAGTAAAACTGGTGTTTCTCAACCTCAAGTCACCGGTCAGGAGTTGTGTCAGGGCGAAGAATGTAAACAGTGTACAGAGCTGGACTCCTCTGAGCTGCAGGAATGCGGCGAGCGGCAGTGAGCTCTGCAAGTCGCTCACTAATGGGATGTTAGAACTGTTACAAACCAGGACACGTCAAAAGCAGGAGGGCTCCACCACTGGCGGAGCCGCTTCGCAATACATTTCGCTGATGAAAAAGTGTGAGAGGGGGCGTAGGAAGTGAGAGGGGAGGCAGGCCATGGAGGGAGGGAGGGAGGCAGGAGAAAAGAGTGAGGTGCTTTTTAAGATTTCATGTTCTCCTCCAGCCCCCACAGTTTGCAGATAAAGGTTGCCGTTGCCAAGGTGACTTGACAGAGAAAGGGAAAGTATCTGGCTGTGTTTTGCCTGTTCGTTGTGCAGGAAGCTTAGAAGCCAGAGGCATAGATAAGATGATTTCAGTCCCTCCTCCACAGAACAAAAGCTGTACGCATGATATACTGCCTTAAATACCTCGGGACACTTTGGCTGCTGTATTCACTCCAAAGCTGTCTAAATATGTGAAACATGCAGTAATGAGAAAGCATCCTACGCTGTGCTGAAGATGCTTTTCCCCTTCTAAATCTGCACTATTACATTAATGTACAGACAAATGATCTCCACACAAAGAGGCAATGCTATACAGTCAAGAGGAAAAAACTCTTATGTTTATTAGCCATGAATTTCACATTGTGAAAAAAATCACATGTACAAAATAATGCCATAAAAATAGAAATCAAACTCTTACATGACAAAAAATAATAATAAAATAAAGTAAAGAAACTGATGCACACTGACAGTGTTTTCTGTCTAATTTACATCATTATGTGAAGTGGGATACTGTGCTCCAATCTGAGCCAGCTGGATTTCCAGATAAAACAGAGAATAAGAGGAGTGCAACAGAAGAAATGGGAAATGCCACTCAGCAATTAGGAGCAAATTGAAGGGGCATTCATTGCTTGCTGTTGTCAGGGAAACTTATTTTCAATGGGGGAAGAAATGCTCTTATCTGATTGGTGGGGCCAGTGGCTCTGTGTTCAATGGCTGGAGGAGGTCAACCTTATGGAGCCACGAGGGTCTCCACAGAAGGCCTGAGATTGCCAATAAGAGGATGAAGTTTTGGGTGGCTTAAGGAGCTGAGCAGGAATTTAAAGGGCTGTTTACCAATCGAACCCAACAGATTTGATTTGATTCATGAATCCACAAGGACGGACATTTGAAAAAAATATATATATACACACATTGCACCAAAACATTAGCTCTTACATTGAAATTCAATGAGTCCATTAATATTCAACTGTAAAACGTCAATGTTCAGGTCACGTAGACAGACACACAGACAAAAACACTGATTAGAGTTACCAAGAATTTCATATGCAGGTGTTTAGGACATTCTCATTTTTTGTTCTTTCAGAACTTGCAGTGTTTTTTTTTTTCATTTTTTTTTTTTATGTGCATCATTAACACTATGATGAAAAGCACTGCGGTGTCTGCCCTTATCAATGCACAGCTCGCTGGATTCAACTCTTTCTCAACCCTAATGGTGAAGAAGACTGTGAATTAACACCCCCCAAATGAGAAGAAAAGTTAGCACATGTGACAGTCCTCCAGCTGTCCCAAGGACAGCTGCACTGACCATCGCATTCTTAACCATGTCAGGGTTACTCTGTGACGTCCCTGATAGTTACTGGGTCGCTACTGCACTGTTCCAGCAGCCTTATCCGTTTTATGGTTCATATCTTTTTGTTTTGTTGGTAAAGTTTGAGCCCCAGCGGGCCAATTTAAGGCAGGTTTGGACCCAGGTTAGGGCTTAAAGAGAATCTATCAGAAGTAAAATGATTATTTCTGTCTTTCAACCCCATTCAGACTTCTTATTTGGGCAGTGACCTTGTGGCCTAAACTGCTTTACGTCATCAGTAATCGGAGCTATCCTTCCTCTTCCATCCACACTGACATAACTGAAAACCCTGGGAGAGTTGCACCTCTGTCTCTTTGAAAAGAACAAGTTCCTCCTGGGAAAGACTGAACTGTGCAAAATGCAGCCGAACTGAGATCAAATAAAACACAACACCTGGCCATGCATGACATAACCCAAACATACATTCACATATGAATGCAGGCAGAGAAGAAATAAATAGGATTAAACATATTAAACATAACAGAGTAATCATTGTCATATAAATTAAGACTACATTGCAGCAAGTTTAAAAAGAAACTGATTCATTCTCAGTTTAGGTTAAGGTGACAAGATTTCTGTGACCACAGAGAAGAGTTCATGCCAGTTTTACTGAATCACTATGAGTGGACATGCTCTAAAAAGGCTTTATCTATGACTCAGCAAGCAAGCCGCCGCCTTTATCAGAATAACAGAAGCACAGCCGGTCTTTTACAGCATTAAGTGAACAGCTGAATATGACAGTGTCTTTTCTGAAGCGCTGAATCCAAACACTGAATGCCGCCCCTGTGTACAGTGGGTTCGTTAACCGACACTCATTGGGGCGTTAATGCGTAGCTGCAAAACAGCAAACATGTAAGGTCGTGACCCCCCCCCCGAGGCACCTCGACATCCCCCACCACCACCCTCCACCGGGCCACGCACAGATCCCCTCCATCCTCCTCAACCTCAGCTGGCGTTGGTCATCAACACCTCGTGACTTGCAACTGACAGCAAACTGCCAAAGCCTTCATAAGAGGAACACTCAAAGGTTTGTCTCTGTGTCTGAGCTGTTAGAAGCACGTCTTTGAAAGAAGAAAGAAAGAAAAAAAAAAAAAGATACGAGGGGTCAAACAAAAGAGCTTATTAGAGGAGAAGAGGGGGAGATTTGCTCCTTCATTGTGCCTTTTATAAATCAGCTGTATTCAGTCAAACTGAGTTGCTTCCTCTTCTTTAGCACACCAATCACTGCATTCTCCCTCCATCTCAATAGAACATTCATCATGCTATACTGTACATTGCAGTCTCTGTGAAAAGAGTAATTTCTTTTCTTCTTTTTTTTTTATTTTTTATTTTTAATCATAGAGAAAAACATCAATACAGATCCTCACAAGCCTGCCATGACTAAATGGGAAAAATGCAGGTTGTGTAATATTTCTGCACTCCTCGTATGGCAGCATGAAAGCCTGATATGCTAGATGTCGAACAAGCAGCAGCAGTTTTGTTTGGTTTGTTTTGCGTGAGTTACTGCACTGTACGTCTCAGCTTCCTTCTCAGAAACGAGAGATGACATCATTCCGGTTAAAGTGTCCAGCTGCTCGATCGTGTGTCTGGGTTCTGCATCCTCGCAACATCAAGATGAATGTGGGTGTCTGTACATCACTGCTCAATGTCTCTTTTAGAGGAGGAGAATGTGTGCCTCTTCACAGTTGGAGTCCAGTGGATGATGCAAAACGGGGAAATCTGAGGAAGAGAAAAGAATGACTTGTCAAATGGGACAATATAACGAATAAAGATGCCTGAAAGCGAACAACGCTCAACAGTGTAAATGTGACTTTCCCATTATTCCCAGTACAAAAACAAGGCTCTAGCATAAAGCATAAAGTCGAGGATGTACCGAGGGTGGATGAAATAAAAACCAACACTTGTAAAATGTAACAGAATCCAATGCAATAGCTGTCGATTCAAGACTTTTGAGGCCCCCCTGTTTGTATTGGACCGCATTTTATTCGCTTCCTATGTGATATAATACAACACCAACACAAAGGGCAGCCTCAAATATCACCATAGGAATGAGACGACTTCTCCCCGACACGGTTTGGACAAGAATTTAAGACCAGGAGCATCACAACATTGTGATTTATTTTCAGAGCTACTACATTACATACATTTTACAGGTATTGCTGTATCTCCGGCTAGACTAATAGATTTGGTAAATCCACCTACTCTGTTTCCTCAGTACAGTCTGGCCTACATCCAACGTCTTATCTCCCCCTCAGCCTACTACACTTTTCACATTTGAGCGCGTTTTACTCACAGAATTTCACTCTGACCTTTCCATTTTTGAAAGCGTTTATTTAATATGTACTTATCTGTACACCACAGATGGTTACAGGCTTGGCAGCTCTCTATGTGTATAATGTGAATGTAATATCATCAGCTATCTCTGTCTGGAGTTAGGTCTTTCACTTGCTGCTGGTGCTGCAGGACATACGTGACGAGTGAAAAAAATAAACCCTGAAGAGGACTTTCTGCCCAGTAGCAAACTGGCTGGGAGAGGAAATGTCTTGTTGGTGATGAAGCCTTGGTCCTAACATTAAGATTACAATCATCATTTGTTGTAAATTCACTTGAAAAACAGAAAACTAACGAACCATTTAAAAAATAAAAATGAAACATTGTGCTTTCACAGGGTGTCATGTGCCAGACTATTTCTTGGCCAGGAGCAGTAACTTCCTGGAGTCTTAGCTAGGCTAACTGGCTGCTGGCTGTAGTTTCAGTATGGTGTTATGAGACAAGATACAGTATCTTAGACATGGGTTTAGTTAAAGAATGTGAATTGGGGGCGCCTCGTGGTTCTAACCGCAGCAGCCATTGGTTCGAGTCCGACCCATGGCCCTTTGCTTGCATTTCATCTCTCTCTTCTCTCTTCTCTCTCTCTCTCTCTTCTCTCTCCTCTCTCTCTCTCTCTCTCTCTCTCTCTCTCTCTCTCTCTCTCTCTCTCCCTGACTTTCCTGTCTATCGCTCACTGTCCTTTCAGAATAAAGGCAAGAACGCCCAAAAAATGTGAACAGAGCTGAACCATGTACAGCTACATATGTTTGGTCATCAGATTCAGATTTTTCATGATAGTTTCTTTTCATCTTTTGTGTGTAATTATCCTGTAAATATATCACCTTCATCTTCCTGCATTATCAACCTCATTTAAGAGTCAAAAATATTGTGTTTAGTTTTGTTAGTACCATTCGCCCCCGACTAAAAGCTTTCTGAGACAAAAAAAATTTAAAAAGCAGGAAGTGAGAATTGTTCTCCTGGGAAAACACTGAGAGCTTCTTTTTTTTCTCTTCTCACAGCTACAGTCTCCTTCTGTGAGGTCTAACATACTTCCTTTCCCTTTCATTCCTTAACAGTCAGCCTTCTTTTCCATTCCTCCACATTTTGTCTTTTCACCGCGTGCAGTGAGTAGACTGTCAGTTGCCATGACAGACAGGCGCACAAAAAAACAAATTCTGTATTAAATTAGTGGCAGGATTATATCCTTCACTGAACACTGTGTTGCACTGGCTTAGAGGTAGTTCAAACCTTCAGTCGAGTCTCTGCCTTTCAGAGATGAGTCAGTGAAAAGAAAGGGAATAATAAGTCTTCAAAAATATTTCATCCTGTAGAGAGCAGGAACATCAGTGAAGCTGCTCTGTGCCGCTTCCTGGCATTATTAAATGGGGGAGACTGTGTTGTGCTGGACAGGTGCAGGAGTCACTCTATTTCTTTCCTTCGCTTTCTGCTTTCTGCTGCGAGCTGCCAACCATTTCAACAAATGGGCCTAAAGCGAAAATGAGCAGGATTACATGCATGTGTACGTGTAGGGGAATCGGTGCAGGGTGCAGGGTTTGTGTGATGTGATGTGATCGGGACCCTCGCAGCCTGCGGCGAGAAGGAAGATCAGGTTTGCCAGCTGACTACACATGTTCCACATACGTCTGGCCTGTTTATCGTCAGAGCAGGAGAGCGGGGTTAGAGCGAGGCCAAGAAGACGTAGATGGAGCGAGAAGAGACTGTTGAGTCCAAAGGTGGGACGAGAGGTGGGGTGAGGGAGGGGTGAGGGAGATCCTCACTTCCCCTTCTGCCACATCTCTCAGTCACCTCCACTTGTAACTGATGATGAATGGCTTCCGACACGGCGTGAGTCGCGGGCTGCCTCCCTCGCACCCGACGTTAAGACCATAACCTCAACAAAGGAAGGCGACTGAGAAGTAGATTAGCCTCGCCAGGGTGTCGTAGCCTGCTGGTGTGTGGCTTGTCTAATTGGCAGACCCCCTTTTCCCGCTTAGAGAGATTTCCCCCACAGGAGCAATAAAAGTATCCTATTCTCTTTCAATTACCCTCTCTGTCCTTCAGCCCATCCCCACAGCCACATAACTCACTTAACCAATGCACACAAGCCCCCATCAATCCCCCCCTCCTCCAGTCCACCCTCCTCTCCTCTAGATCTTCCCCCTCTCTTCTCCTGTCAGTATTTCTCTTATTCTGAAAATCTGAAAGCCTGAGCGACCCAACCCAAGGACTAAGATCGATGCAGCAGAGTCAAAGATATCGTCTTTTTTATTCCACACATTTTCCTCCCTTGTCAAAACTTGGCATCTACATTAAACATAATTCAGAGACTCAGGTGTAGCCCCAAGCCATTAGCTTCAAACAGAGATGAGGAGCAGGTCTTTCAAGCTCCACATACTTATATTTTTTTCCATTTTCAAACTTGCAGTCTTCAGCCCCAACCAAAGGTTTAAACTATTTTTTTCAGTAGCACTCCCCAAGACTTATAAACAGACTATGACTATGGTTCTACAAAGAGACACAAAGGGTTAAACTTACCTGATGAAAACGGTGTGGGTAGAGGGTCGGGGGCTCAAGCAGGCAGATGTTTCCAGGTGCTGACGAAAGCAGTGGGAATCAGCGAGTATGGCACAGTAGTGATGCTGTTCCAGGAATCCAACGTGGGATCATAGCAGTCCAGAGTTTTACACCTCTGTGTGCCAAAGTACCCACCCACCACATACAGTTTGTTCCCCGATGCTACAGCCTGGCAGCTCATCCGCTTGGCTGTCACATCGCCCACTTTAGTCCACTGGTAGCTCTCGCTGCTGAACTTATAAGCCGAGCACGCTGAGAACTCTGTATCCCCACCCATGACAAAGATCTGGTTTCCCAGCACGGCGGCGGCGGTGTAGCGCCATGGTTGCGGACAGGACGCGGGCACAGTCCATCGATTCTCCTGCGGATCGTAGCACTGCACCTTGGGAAGCTTGTCGTGGGTGACGCTGGTTCCTCCGAAGGCAAACAGCTTGAGCTTGACGCTGACCACCGCTGCATTGCTCACACCTTCTCTCAAAGGAGCCACCATGGTCCACTTGTTTGCCACTGGGTCGAACTGCTCCACCTGTTTGAGTGACACCGACGGAGAAGCCGGGAGGCAGCCAGTTGCTGCAGTATGACCTCCTACCACGTAGAGGCAGTGTTTCAGCTCCGCCGAGCCATGGCCGAACCTGGCGATGAGCATGGGAGCAGCTTTGGACCATTCCTCGTGGACGGTGTCGTACACCCATACATCTTTAGACACGCCGTTCTCTGAGCCTCTCCCTCCAGTGATGTACACCTTACAGCCGATGGCGCAGGCGCTGAACTCCTTCCTGGGGCTGGGGATGTCCGCCTTGGGGATGATCTCTTTGGCCTTCTGGTCCACCAGGTACAACTTGTCACACATGAAAGTCTGCCCTCCCAGAAGAAACAGGGCATGGCTGGTTTTTCTTGGTCGGGCACACGGGCTGTTGACGACGCCGTCATTTTGCAGGATTTTCAGCTTACAGCGGATAGCTTCATCCACCAGCTCCTTGCTCTTGGCCTGGGCGTTGATCAGCTCCTCTGTCGAGACATTCTCCATCAGAAAGATGGCAGGCAGCAGGGCGAGGCGGACCGTTCTCAGAAGCTCTGGAAGGTGGCAGTGCCTCCTCTCCAGGTCATAGTTGATCCAGTTAAGGGCAGCTTCGTAAACCAGTCTCTCATCTTCTGTCTCTAGCTCCTCGTGCGATAAAAGCTGGACCACCATGTCTTTGGGCAGTTGGAGGAAGTCCTCTGTCTTGCAGATAGCAGGGAAGTTGCTGAGGCACATGCCCCAGGAAAGCTCTGACAGCTTGGTACACTGGTGGGCGTCAGACAGCAACAACATGCCAAGACAGTTAGAAGGGTGAAGGTTTCTCTCTAGGAATTCAGCGCAGGCGTCACGGATGTCCTGAAACTCCAACATGTCCCCCGCTTCCAGCAGAGACTCTGCGTTCTCCTCGTTGATCACCACGCGTGACGAGTATGCGTAATCCAGCAGCAGCTCTAAAACCTCCGGGTGGATGGAGTCGTGGAAGTCGACCTCGCTGGCCTGGCTCTCCCTCAGCCCACCGCTGAACATGGCCTCGAAGTAGCGGCTGCAGGCAGCCAGCACTGCGCGGTGGCAGGGGAAGGAGCGGCTGCCGGCATGAAGCAGGACGTCTGTGAAAAGCCTTTGCTGCCGCAGTGAGTTGAGGTGCATGAGGACGCTGTCGGCATAGGAGGACTTGTGGAACAGGTAGATGTTCATAGAGCCAGTGCTGGCTCTAGATTTTCGGTTCTCATGGACGCACACGGACATTTTCATTGAATCCTGAAAGAGAAAAAACAAGAAAAATCTCTCTTTAATGCAATTATATCTCCTAGCTGAGAGTTTAGCATCATAATAATGAGTTTCCTTTGACGAGGAGGCAAGCTTTCAGTCATAACATCCTGTAGGAGTTTGTTGTTGTCATTGACAGCTTAAGGAAAGAAATCAGGTCATTAGAGTGTTACAAAAATGTGTCTTTCATCATTCGATCTCCATCTGAATTCACTAAAAATCTCCACTTCTCTAGTCTCCTCTTCCACCATCCATCAGTCCACCTCTTTCTGTCCGTGCCAAGAGAATGTGGCTTTGCACAAACATATTCATATGTATTATGGTTGAACAATATTTAAAAAAAAACCCACAATGTTGAGCAGCCTGGGGGAATAATATCTTTTATATGTTGTATTTATGATTCAGATAATAAAGTGGGATATATGCAGCTTTCAGTTTATGTGAAAGAAAGAAAGTATAGGTGTTTTTCTCTCTTCATTTTTTTTAAACAAACATGTATATATATTATTTTTCTTCTAACACATCCAAATAGCAGATGTTGGAATTTTCCATCTTTTTTTTTTTTTTTTTTTACCCATGTCCACTAATTTGAAAGTCAGATGCAAAACACATGAGACACATGAGATGTTAGCTTGTATGCAAAAGTGGCGTGTAATTACTGTAAATCAGACTAAATTATGTTGTTTATCAGAGAGACTAGATTGTTTGTCTTTAAGATTAAAAAAGCAGACTTTGCTGTGGGCCTTACTTGCCTTATTAAACTGCATCTGACAGTACGATGTCACTGCAGAAATATTACATTGTTCAGCCTTAATATCCGTATTATGATTGTGTGCATTTTTGCAGAGAGTATTGCAGTCCTTCCTTAAGATAGAAAGATGTAGTAGCATATGTCTGGGAGTTATGACGGTCAATAGTCCTCTCTTCAGACAGCAGGTGGCTTCTCCACATTCAAAGCTGAGCAGTATTAACTCCTCTCTTGTACAGATACCATGATTTATTAGTAAGAGAAGAGGAAAGGAATGTATTGAAAGACTATTTTAAGCCTCAGAAACGCACAGAATCTACAATACAACTTCCAGTAAGTCACAGCTCCCATCCTCACTGTCCTTCCTCTGTCCTTGCTCAGGGCTCACTTTCATTCCACCCAATTTCAAGACACGTCAAGTGCCTCCAGCACTCTATTTCCAGAGGAACTGAGTCCCCGTCTGACCCAGTAAATGCACAGCTGACAGATTCTTCAACCAGACATTTCAAGTTCTCGGCCCGCCTCAGGGTCTATTTTGAGGAGTAATAATTTGAGGAGTGAGAGAAGATGGATTGATCTTAACAGTAAACTTTAACACCGACTGTACTAACACTCGAAAAATCTGTGTTTTGGATCGAAACAGGCTCGAGGTTGTTGCAGCATGTTTGTAGTTTCCTCTAATTCTGCTGGGTGCTATAGATCCCGATGATGAGCTTTCAAGGCAAAGGTGTTTTCAAACTAGAAAAACAGTCATAAAATCTTTTCAAAACACTCCTGCAACATGATCTACTCCCACCACTGCCCATCAGTGTCCTCAGTGCATCACAGACACAGTGAAATGATAAACTTCATGGTTTTAAGGGGAAACATATTTTTCTATACTTTTTATTTTGAGTGTTTTGATCATCTTTTTTTCCAAGCTTGTCACTATTGTAATCCATTGACTGAGGTCAAGCTGACATGACTCAGTCACTGACATTGTTTCTCTGTCGGTGAGAAAATGTTTTACAAACCTCCAGGTGGTGAGGTTTTTGATACTGAAAAGATTGATTTTCACTTCAAGCCCTAGCGAGTTCAAAAGTTCCCAGGTGTCATAAATGATTCCTCTGCAACGCAGCTGCGGAGCGGAGAGGACACTTTCCATTTTCCTTGAGTTGCATCATCTGCCCCAAAAATCCCCAGAATGCCGCCTCATGAATACACAACCAAGCCTGAACCCTGCAGGCGCAAATGAAAGTCCAATGGGGCTTCCTGTTGAGCAGTGTCACTCACACCGTTGGCTTCAACAGAACCGTATTGTTACTTGTCATAAATTCCAGGAACATGGTTAAATTCCAGTTAAAATAACTCCCTCAAGCAGCAACTCTTCCAAAAAAAAAAAAAAAAACCCAGGCACCCAGGTTGGCTGCTGTGGTGCCAAACCTGCAGCACCTGTTAGCATAATGTATTTAAGCCACTTGCAAAGCATTTCAAAACTGGAGCCAAAGCCGGGAGGCAGAATGGAGCGAGGTGTGAAAGATAGCGAGATAACCAGCTGTAATTTTATGTGAACTACAAAGATAAGAAAGTACTCGTGTGACTGCTTCATAAATAACACTGTCCATTTGTTTTCATACGTGCACGTGAGCCAACATAACGTCATAAAGGAATAGTTTGACTTTTTGAGAAATGTGTTTATTCACTTTCTTGCCCTGATTTAGACGAGAAGATTGATACCACACTCATTCATGTGACATATGAAGCTACAGCAGCCGTTTCGCTTAACTTATGACTTTATACATAGGCCATATAGTCATATTTCACAATAATAACAAGAGGAAGACTCTTATTTATCACAACTTGATGAAATGCAAAAGCAACTGCGACTTCGGCTCAGCAGGATTTATTGCATTCCAGCACTGACAAAACTGGCAACCCGTCATCCTCAGGCCTCTGGCTCAGTCAGCTATATCGAGACTATCCTAGCCTGCTCTCTCTCACCTGCACCCCCCCCCCCCACACACACACACACACACACACACAGAGTCATGATACTGCAAGCTCATGTTTTCTAATTGAAAGATGTAAGTGGCTTGATCTGAATAAGTGGCCCTAACAAATCAGGCTGTAAGCTTGAGAGGTTTTCCGTATGCTAATCGCTAGCGTGTTAATAAATATAACCTTCAGGTCTGACACTTATTAGTATTTCAAATGATACAGTGACAGTTCAAGGATTTTAACTAACAAAACTTTCCAAGAGCACAGTTGTTTCAGTGCAGGAATCTAAGGAATCTGATCTAACTTCCAAAGTGTCATCGGTTTCCTCTCTGAAATGAATCAAAGAGAATCACAGTGTTATCTCATCTTGATAACGGCACGGCACGACACGGGCTCGCTCTCAGAAACACCAATATTTTGATCTGCTGAGCAAATAGTTTGATTTGACAGTTTGATTCAAGCATTTCAGAATCTCTAAAATCTTACTTAAATCACAGCAGTATCCACTCATCTATTCAATCGTTTAATCCTATTATAATAACTTTGAATTTTCCTTTTGATTGCCTCATTGCCTAAATGATGATAATCAGAAATATTACAGTTCGTACATTCCTGTCTTATTCAGCTGCCCCATACAATTACTTTTGTTTTGCATTTTTATCAAACAAAGAGCATAAAGTTTTCCACACCTGCAGTGAGTGAAGGAGAGATAAAGAGAGAGGAGCAGCAAAACAGATACTTCTTCTACCATTTGCATTTTAAAGGATAAAGCCTGGATTACCAAGTAGTAGTAGCCTGCAGGTCCTGAAAACCCTTTGTTCATACATTTGTAATTTAAATGGGATTTTTCCTTTGTTACAAACTTGCCTGTCCCCAACATTTGTCCAGTGACGATGTTTTATTACTGTGTGTCAAACTTATATATTCTAAGAAGAAAACGTGATTTCAGAGTAAATGGGTTCTTGTAAATTTTGTGTTTAAGCAGCATTTTAAACAATACACTGTCTGTAATGTGAAGATGTTTCATGTAAACACAGACTATTGGGAAAAATCTGGTCACTTCACCCGATATAACCACAATCTAACAATCTGGTTGTTCAGAGTAAACAGGTTACAGCGAGGATGAAAACATTGTGAGTGCAACAAGTCGCTGTGAAACGCCTGACGACCGTCTGGCAGACGTAAACATCCCATGTTTCAACACATTTTAATTGAACTATGAATTTCTGCTCTAACTGAGAACAAATAGATGACTCTTTTCAGCCACGTCTTCAGGAGTAAATTAATAACTTTAAATTACCAAGAAAAAAACAACATCAAATAACAGTTTGCATATAGATTTACATAATTTGTTCATGAGTAAACGAAATGTTTTTTGCCGAACAGAATTCAACTGATAACCTGTTGCCCTCATGATGTGATAGTGTGGCTGTTTTGTTTTCTGCTTTATCATGTTTCCTCATTCTTTCTGATTCTGAGTGTATGCGTTCACTTTGACTTCCACTGGTGACAGTCCAGATTACTAATACATGTTGTTTGAGGCTATGAAGGTTGTTTGCATATTCATTGTGAATATAACCACAATGAAAATATCAAATACAATTAGGCAAAGTGTATTATTACAACATAAACCAACAGGAGCTGAAACGTTCATCTACTGGTTGATCGACAGAAAAGTAATCCCTAAATATTCTGATGTGTTTCAGCCATTTTTCAAGCACAAATGGTGAAAAAGATGCTGTTTGGTTTCTCACATGTGACGATTAGCTGCTTTCCTTTGTTACATACTGTATGTGAAGACTTTCAGGTTTTGGCTGCAGGTTGGAAAAAATAAGCTGATGTCATTGTTTTTTTGTTTGTTTTTTTTAGCAATTGCAATCTATTGATCAAAAAATAGATCAGATCAGTTCCAGCCCCAAAAGCCAATCACCAGTATCAATAATAATCAACAATCAGAGCTCATGGTATTGTAGTCTGTAGACTGTGATTGATCTCAAAGCCTATTTTTCTTTTACACTAACAGAGTCAGTACATTCACACCAACGTGCCATCAAGAGGAGGAAAAGATGCCAACAGTGTGAGTGTGTGTGTGTGTGTGTGTGTGTGTGCGGTTGGTTGCCTGGATGGCTGTGAGAGTTCTCATCCTTATCCCCTCACAGAAAGCAGATCTACGGGTACACAACCGGAAAGCACATACTCAGAAAGAACATGGTTAAAAAAAAAAAAAAGAGAGAGAAAGAAAGAAAAAAGAAAAGCATGCACACGCAGCCATGGACTCTATCTGAGGCCTGGCTGGCTGCAGTCTGTTTAAAATCATTGCCAGGTGTTCACAGTCAACCATGGACTCAGGAAGAGGGATGGGAGGGAGAGACTTCAAAAGTAAACACCGGGCTTATATGGGCCAAGTATATACATCTGCCACTTTGACAAAGAAAAGAAAGAAAAAGAAATGAAACAAGATGCAAAAAACAAAAGAGGGGCAGAGCAGCAGCTATTGATCTGCATGTCCGCATCAATCTTCATTGGAATCAGAGAGAATCAGATTTATAGTCTCACACCAGCTGTCCACACACATCTGAGCGAGGTTAACTGCGTTTAATCCAAAGCCTTGGCCATTAAAAAGATACAGCTTATCCAATTATAAACACACGAGGAGAGCGTGTCACACCTGATGTCGCCTTTTTAAAACATGTAAAACATCCTGAGCATGCATGAGTATGCAGGAAGGAGGAGAGAGGAGAGCACAAAGGAGGACGGGAGATCTGTAGCGTATTTCATAAAAAATAAAGAAATAGTGCAATCAATGTGCTGAGTAAATGATAGCGATAACACTATCATTTCATCAGTGAATGTCAATAACAATCTTTTGTCCATTAGCCTGTTTTTTCTGTTGCGCTTTCTCTCTTACAACAAGGAGTTTTCCATCATCAGGTGATCAAGAAAAGGGGTAAGCAGCAGCTCTCACATTAAAACAACATGGAAATAGGGTGTAACAGGGACTTATCGTCAAAGGTACCTCTTTGGGTGAAAGCAGGAGTTCAACTGTGCCCGCAGTATCCCTGGAACATGCCACTTCTGAAAGAGCCACGATGCAAGCCCTGCGCACGGGGAGTGTGGTAACTCCGTGGTTATTTCCGAAACGCTGGCGGGTGTACTCGCGTCAGGATGAGGCCGATTTTTTTTTCTCCACTACACTGGCTTTTGCTGCAAATTCCGGAAGTTGTTATAATATAATTTCACATAAATATGTTAAGGCTCCGCACAAAATGGACGGGCTTTGATATCGGGGATGAGCTGAGATGTTTGGAGGCTTTCCTCCAGCGCCGCGGCTCCGCTCCTGTGTGGCGATCCTCCTCCTGCGCTCCCAGTCCTCTCTCACTGAAATCAATGGGTGTGTTTACTGTGGGAAGGGGGAGGATCGTCACCTCGTGCAGGAAATGAAGTGTGTGGTTGGTGGTGGGGGAGAACTCACACATGCATATTACAATTTGATATGGAGTTTTTTTTTTTTTTAAATTTATTTAGGTTTAAGTATTTTAAAGATTTACTTCAAGATGAGTCAAATTAAACTTATTCCTCGCTGTAGGGCCCTTTCAGACTCTTGGACCAGCCTTTGGGGAACCAGTGCACTAAAAAAGTTAATTATTTTATGTAGTAGTGGTGTAAAGTAAAGTATAGTTACTACTAGTTACTTTTCAGCCTCGCAAAAAAGTTTTTAGTTGAGTAAAAGTACCAATGTATTACTGTAAAAATTCTCCTTGCAGTTAAAACTCAGTGTAGAACAATGAGCAACAAAACATACAAAAGCAAAAGTAGCCTAATAGTTAAGTTGCCCCTGTAAGTACCTACTATGTTGTTTCTGAGTTTGGTCCAGTGGCTCCCACCCTTTGGACCAGGCCCCTCTAAGTGATTAGGAAACATTAGGTTTCATCTCAAACAATGTATTTTATAAACTTAGCCATTCACTGTTAAATGAAAAATGTAATCCTCAAGGCTGCAGTACTTCGTTGCTGCTTTTAAGAGTCAGACTTTACATATAAAATATATTCAGTTTATAAAATGTGATGCATAGCCATTTATGAAGCAGTTGAATTAGCTCCACCTACATGTTAATGCATGAATAAAAATGACTCAACACTAATAGTGGCCATTCTGCAAAATATGAACTGTCACTTTTGATACATTTTACTGCGAATATTTCTTACTTATATTACTTACAGGGAATAAATGATCTGAGTTCTCCTCCCACCACTGTTCTTTTAGACCTGTATGTGTCTCATCTTATTAGAACCACGTGTGTCTAGATTTCATCATGTGAATAGCTCTGTGTTAAATATATGGGTGCCTGTGTTGCCGACACCTCAAATGTTACTGTGATAGCTGATTACACATTAGATTGTTCTGAAATCAATTCTGTAAGATACAGGAAACCTCTGTCTGTCGATATCAGACCTACAGCTGATGCTCAGGAGCTGATGTTAGATTACACTGTTACTGTTGTTTGTGTCATACTCTTGTGGAGTCACCACTTAAAAAAAAAAAGAAAGGGGGAAAGAAAAACTATGGTACATATGTTTCAAAACAAGGTAGGAAGGTATAGGGAATACCATAATGTCTGACTGAGCCACAGCAAACCCACCGCTGAATGCCACAGCCACAATATAAGTCCTATAGGATTATAAAGACATTGTGGTTTTTGGCCGGGGTAGCTGGGAATGGGAAGTCCAATTTTATCCCTGGACATCTTGTGTGAGTCACATCTGTGGTCCTTGCGGAGAGTACTTTTGGCTGTGACTAAACCCTTTAGTGGACCCTTGAGGCTATAATGTCATTATTTTGTTTGTTTTTATGTGCGGTGAACTTGTGTTGTGGCGATTACATCCTCGCATCCGGTTTCTTTTCCCATCAAACTGTTTTTATAAAGACAGAGTTAACAATTACCGTAGCTTCACATCAAGGATGATACAGCACACTGTTCCTCAGAGAGATGCATTTAATTATGAAGAAAACCTCATTGTGGCAGCAAATGCTTCATCTACGTGACACGAGAGACACCTAGTGGGCAAATAGTGCAGAGGGTTGAAAACTGGAACTGAGGGAATAAATACAGACTGAATTGTAATGAACTGAACCCACGTGTTTGGATGGCATTGGTTTTTACTTAGTCATTGTTTGGGGTTTCACTTCACTGTTGTATGTGTAAAAAGAATTATAATATTTTTTTCCTGATATCTTAACCCTTCCCATCACCACAAACAGCATGTCTGAAAAACTTCAAAACTCCACAACGGGCTCTAAACTCTGGGAGCCTTTCCTCTCCTAATGACTGAGTTTCAATTTGTCTGAGTTTCTTAAACCTAATATGTATCGTGGTAAACAGTTTCGTTCAGTCTAGGGGCAGTTGGGCTGTAGCTGATTGTTGTTCCAGCGTCCAACACAACCTTTCCAGGAAGTGAGGTTAAGGTGATGGCAGAATATCTCATATCTCAATATCTCTTGTGTCAGGCTGTTGCTATAGTTTCACACTGTGGCTTGAGTCTGAATGCGGATCAGACAGGACTGCAATAACATCAACGTTGATGCAGGAAGTATCAAGTCTTATTTTAATCATACAGTACTGGGTAATATGAAATGTGATACAGAGCCTTATTACAAATTGAAAGACCTTTCCTGTTAGCTCACTTAGCTGTTAGCACTCAGAAACATGTTGAGCAGATTTGCATTTGGAGTAAAAAAAAAAAAAAAAAAAGCATGTTGCTGATGCAGTACCTTTCTACTCACTGGTGGAATATAACTAAGTACACTTACTCAAATAGGACTAAAGTAAAAAACTCCTACGTTACTTCAATATTAGTATCATTTAGATTTAGATTTAACATTTAACTTTTAGACTTAAGATTCATACACATTGTTAACAATTAAATATGACATGATGTTTTACACAAAGCTCTGTCTCAAATGAGAGGAAAATGATAGATAGATAGATAGATAGATAGATAGATAGATAGATAGATAGATAGATAGATAGATAGATAGATAAGCCAATAAGCTAAAGAAGCTTGCTGTAAACGCTTCCTTTTAGATAGTTCACCTGTGTCTGAATAATCAAATTTAAATGGGCATGGGCCCTTTTTTCTGAATGATTTTTAAGCTTTTCTCAGGCTGCACAAACCAGTCACTGATAACTACTTTTGTCTCACCTCTTGTGATAAATCAGTCACGAGGGATGACACAGATGCTGGCAGATATATTTTCCAAACTAAAAATGTCTTGATCTAGAGTCCACTAGCTTTTACCTACCATACATTTTAATGTCTTTTTTTATTCGAATTCATCCTGTTCATCCTTGTTTTACCCTTCAACCCTTTCTGTTGCATTTTAAGTTTATCGATTTATCTATTTTACTTATTTCCAGCAGATAACACCAAGATTATAAAAAATAATTGTAAATGGATGTACACATAAATAAAGCTAATTTCATGTTTCCTGTTGTTTTTGCATTCTTTGCATTTTACATTTAATTCCGTTTGTTTAATAATGAATAAAGAAATCTATAGATACTTTCCAAACAGCAAGTAAGTGGTTCCCCTTTAAATGTTTGCACAAAATCGACTTCCGCCTTAGAAGCCCCGCCCTCCTCCCTCAGCATAATGCTGCTTTCGGGTCGCTGCCAGGTCTTGTGACTTTACGGTCTTCATTCAACATGAGCACTACGCTGAAGTTCACCGTGCTGTTGCTGGCCCTCGGCTTTTGCCAGGGGCTGCAGCACAACTATGACAACTACATCGAGGAAGAAGAAGGAGTCGAGCCCGTTTCCCAGGCTTCAAAATATGGCTCTCTGTGGCCTCTTCCGCAGAAAGTGCAGACCTCAGAGGTTTCATTGAAGTTGTCCGGCTTCAGCTTCAAAATTGTTGACGCCAAAGGGTCATCCGCTGGCCCGAGCTGCAGCCTCCTGCAGAACGCGTACAGGAGGTGAGAAGCTGGGTTTTAATCAGCTGGGTTGTTTATGTATGTGTTTAGCTCGCTTTTGTTTCTCTCCCCCTCCCCAGTTCCTTGTAAGACGAAAACAAAAGCTTCGTTGCTGCGTTCAGGAGCCGGTCTCCGCTTCATAAACAAGATCTCACCTGTCTTTCTCAACAGGTATTACGAGTACGTGTTTGGAGGTGCCAAAAAACAGAAGCAGGGCAAAACCTGGCGAACAGGCCCCTCTGAGCTCACGGAGCTGCAGGTGTGGATCACATCACCTGACTCTGAATGTGACGGTTTCCCCAGTGTGACATCTGATGAGTCATGTGAGTCTGTTCCTCTTTGATATCTCATTTAATCCTGTTGTTTATTACGGTACTTCCACGCAGTAAACAAGTACTTTTACTCAAGTACTGCAATTGAGTATGAATTTCAAATAATAGGCACATCTCTATATAATACAATACAGTTTAACAGCACTGAACACTACTGAATGAAGGATGAGTTACTTATAAAACTTTGACATGAATTTATAAAATATGATGCATCAGCTGCTCATCAGTCTGTAAAGTAGTTAAAGCTTGACTAGTGAAATGCTGCTGACTATTATTAGTATTAGTACTTTTTCTTAAGTAAATTATCTAAATATCTAATATCTTCTGCTTCTGCAGAAATGGAAGTTGCATACTGTTATCTGCAGGACTCTGTTGATTAATTATGATATTCATCTATTGCTATTTCAAGTTTCTTCCCTGACAAACCAGTGGTTCTTAACATTTTTTGGCAAGTGTCTAGTTGGTTGATTGGTTGCGTTTTTCTGCTGAGCGAGTAGTATTACCTTTGATACTTAAAGTACATTTTGCTGATAATACGTTTTCTTAGGCAGGAACTTCAATAAAGGTTTTTTGCTTTTATTTTTACACATATTTTTACATTGTTGTAGTGTTACTTTTACTTAAGAAGAGGATCTGAATTCTTGACGACATGGGGCATCGATCTGATTCTGTGTGCTCATGATTTGCCGGTGGAATTAGAGTTTACTTGGCCAACAGATACGAGGATTAACACGGTTAATCTAGACTGAATGTTTAAAGCCCCCCTCTAATACCCTCTGTAATAACCACCTGCAAAGCTTTGACAACTCTGTAAATTTACATGCAGTGTACAACTGTTTGTGTCCACAGATGAACTGTCAGTGAAACAGCCGGTTGCTGTCCTCAAAGCACCAAAGGTCTGGGGAGCCCTGCATGGTAGGACTTTTTTGTTTGCCTGTTATTACACCATTTGAAAGCAAACTCTGCTTTAGGACATTTATTTTCATTATTTATTAATTCATTATTATTATTTCTTTTGAATAATTGTTTGGTGTAATGTACAATATGTCAGAAAAAAAGTTATAAATGCCCGTCACAATTTCTCAGAGCTTAAGATAATGTCCTTAAAATTGGCAAATTTTGTTCAATCAGTGATCCAAAACCCGAAAGACACACAATGTATAATGATATAAAACAGAGAAAAGCAGAACCTAAGAAGCTGGAAACAGAAATGACAAATTACACTCATTAAGCTGAAGTCACCATTACGACCGATGATCACAGATAAAAGTCTGATACAAAGTTTCACTTTGTTGTTGCCCTCGCTCCTTGTACAATAAAATTACAGTGTGCTTGTTTATTGCCCAATCTAAAGGTAAATGACTTTCAAGAACTGCACCTGATTAATTACGATGTGTGTTTTTATTTTTCATTGTTTCCATGGTTTTTAGGTTTGGAAACGTTCAGCCAGTTGGTGTATGAAGATGAATATGGAGCTGTAAGTGAAGGACAATATGAGTGTTTCTAACTTTCTTATCTTAATGAGGACGTTTTGTTGCACTTGACATCCAGACTGGTCAGCCTTGCTGTATATGAGCCAGGCTTTAACTCAAGCTTGTTTCAACTGCGTTTCCAGAAAAGCATCAATTCCACAGCAATCAGTGACTTCCCCAGATTTGCACATAGAGGCATCTTACTGGACACCTCTCGGCACTTCCTGCCCATTAAAGTCATCTTGGCTAATCTGGTACGTCAATAATAAGAGCTGCTTATTTTGTTTGTCTCATTTCTAATTTCATTTACAGTTTTAAATACATAAATCCTTTGTCCATTCATACAGGAAACAATGGCGATGAACAAATTCAATGTCTTCCACTGGCACATCGTCGACGATCAATCCTTCCCATACCTGAGCCGAACGTTCCCACAGCTGAGCCAGCAGGTCAGTACGACTGCGTTTTTCATATTAGCACACTGTATTTGTTACAATCCACCAGAAGAGCTTATTCATCACACTGTTCACAGGGATCTTACCACCCGTACACACATGTGTACACACCCGCTGATGTGAAGATGGTGATTGAGTTTGCACGCCTGAGAGGCATTCGCGTCATCCCAGAGTTCGACACTCCGGGACACACACAGTCCTGGGGCAAAGGTGAGTATTGCGAGAACTGGTGGAGAGAAGCTTTCTGTGTCACCGCCCTTTTTTGTACGCACCTGGAAACACTATCTGAAAACAATAAAGCATAAAAAAATGAATCTAACCTGTCTTTCCCTCTCAGGCCAACCCGATCTGCTCACACCCTGCTACTCTGGCGCCGAACCCTCCGGCTCCTTCGGACCAGTAAACCCCATCCTGAACACCACGTATGACTTCATGAAGCAGTTCTTCATGGAGGTCAGCTCTGTGTTCCCTGATGCCTACGTTCACCTGGGAGGCGATGAGGTGGACTTCACCTGCTGGTGAGACGGTGTACACGATGTTGGAAACTTCTCAGCATCAGAGACCGGACAAGCGTTAACATCTGCTGCTGTTTTTGCTCTGACCCTGCAGGAAGTCCAACCCGGACATTAAGAAGTTCATGGATCAGCAAGGCTTCGGACAGGACTACAGCAAACTGGAATCATTCTACATCCAAAAGTTTGTTTCACATTTATACCTTAGTATTTTCCTTGTTCCCTACATTTTATTCCTAATTTCTTTCCATATTTTATTTTCCTTTTAGACTCTTGGATATCGTCACCACCACCAAGAAGGGCTACATGATCTGGCAGGAAGTCTTTGACAATGGTGTTAAGGTAAAATAGAAATTGTGTGTCTTGCTGTCTCAATAAAAGTTATTTGCATGTTAGAGTTAAGACTGAGGGATTTTTTTAATGCTAAATAAAACAAGGTGTTTGGGCAAGTACTTTATCAACATTTATTGGTCATTTGTGTTTTTGTTTTTTCATCCTGTGTTAGAATAGTTTCACATTCTGGGAGATAATTTCCTTTCGTGCTGAAAGTTATATGAAAAGATCAATACCACTCTCATGTCTAAATATGAAGCTAATCAGCAGCCAGTTATGTGTGCACAAAGACTGGAAATGAGAGTAAACAGCAAGTCTGACTCTGTCCAAAGGTAAGAAAATCCACCTACCAGCACCTTTGATGGGTCTGTAATTAACTCATTATGTGTAATTAACTCATTATCAGTATTTATCAAATGTCATTATGCAAAAGAGAAATGACTTACTGTGGTTTTAAGGGTGGAAGTTGCTACTGCTGGCTAATTGTCTGGTGCATAACCTCAGTTAAGCCACAGCTTGTTCTCACACTATAGTTTTAAGATATAATGTTTTAAGATATTATATAATGTGCTAATTAGTGAGCTTTAAAGGTGCTGGTGGACCAGTTTTGTTTTTGTTTTTTTGGACAGAGCCAGGCTAGCGGTTTCCCCCTGGTCCAGGATTTTAAGCTAAGCTAACTGGATGCTTTTGTATTTGGCATACAAACACGAGCCTGGTCTCTAACTACTCACCTTGCTCTCAGAAAGAAAACAAATGTATTTCCCAAAATGTTGAACTATTCCTTTAACCATGACCGCCTGCTCTGTAGTATGTGACCTAAGAACAGTAGCTTGGCCTGTAACAATTGCAGCTAAAGCCTGACACAGTAGTGCATGTGTGGATCGGCGGCGGGTCTAATGAGGAGATGGGCAAGGTGACGGCAGCGGGATACACCACCATCCTCTCCGCCCCATGGTACCTAGATTATATTAGCTACGGACAGGACTGGCAGAGGTACTACAAGGTTGAGCCACTCAACTTCAACGGTTAGTTTTCATTTAAAAAAAAAAAAAAAAAATTGTGTTTTATGTCGAATCAGTTCATTTGGTGGAGGGAAAACTCTGATTTGGGTTTGATTTAATTGAGGCAACAAAAAGTATTCTGGACTTTGTTCAACAGGCTTACGCTTGAAAACTGCACAGTTGTGACAAGGAGAGAGTCAGATACAGACCTGAGGTGAACATGGGGCAGTGTGGTTGGTGGTTTCAGATGTTTCTTTCATGGGTCAATGTAGTTCACCGCTGTGGAGGACCAATCCTGGTTTGTTTGAAACAATAACCAAATAAACTAAAGGTGAAGTAATTAATCAGCAACAACGTTGGCACCGAAAGGAAGTCCACTCCTTGTCCTGGATGTCCAGGGTTCAAGTCAACCAGCCGGGGCGAAATAAGTCAGGTTTGGTCCTCCATGAACACGGACCAAGACGAAAGTAGGACTGAACCTTTTCAATTTCCAGACACTTTCCTAAAATGTCATCATGCAGATTGTGACATTATCATCTGCGACTAACTAAAAAGGAAGATAATCAAAACACAAAAGACACATTAATGTCTCGAGTGGATTCGAAACAATTGAAGGCTCTGACATTTTCGTCTTCGCCCCCCCCCCCCACCCTTTCACCATTTCTCTCTTATCTTGCTAATACTGACACTCTCATGTATGTATGCCGTGTAGCTGAAACCAGACACAATTATCCACGTTTGGAAAGGAACCCAGCAGCAATACCAGAATGAGATGGCAAATGTTACATCATCAGGGTACCAGACCCTGCTGTCCACTCCCTGGTACCTGAACCGTATCTCCTACGGCCAGGACTGGCGGGGCCATTACAAGGCTGACCCGCAGGATTTCAAGGGTTTGTGTCCACATGATTGAATTATTTAGCAAGATTTTTTTTCCCCCTGCACATTTTCACTGGTTGTTTTTTTTTTTTTCTCAGTATTTACATAAGGAAGGGTGTTGGGAGTTTGCCTGAGTCATATGATTCTGTTTTATTGCTCTGTTGTTGATCTGACCCAGATTTTATCAGCTGTATTGTTGGACTCTGTTGGACACAGATCTGAAACGTTGTGGAGTTGTCACTCCTGTGCAAATACGTGTAAGCCTGTTGAATGAACAGAGGGAAAATATCTTGATATTTTTGCTATCGGAGGGGAGAAAATCGACATAATCGTAATTCAGTTTAATTAAGCATTTTATTTCTTTTTATTGTATTATCTCTAGTCCTGTGGAGGTTTACATTCTCTGGATGTTGGTGATGCTGCTTGATCTCATCAGACATTACTTTTTAAAACAGGAACTGAAGCGCAGAAGAAACTTGTGATTGGTGGAGAAGCCTGTTTGTGGGGAGAATATGTCGACGGCACCAACCTGACACCCAGACTCTGGTATGTCTCATGTGATTCCTTAATTATGTTTTTTTGAACCTTGACACATCACATGACAATGAATGGACTGATATCTTTTGTTTTTTTTTTCCTCTTGTCTTCTATCACTCCCTCAGGCCTCGTGCCAGTGCTGTGGCGGAGCGGCTGTGGAGCGCCAAAGAAGTGACGGACATCAACGACGCCTTCAACAGACTGTCCATGCACCGCTGTCGTATGGTGGAGTAAGTATCTCACATCTCTTTATACCATTCACTGCATCAGTGCAAGTCGCCAAAAGCTGTGCCATCACCTAACTCACATTAAACAGAACTGTATAAAAACATATTCCTCGTATTTTCCTGTCTAAGGCGCGGGATCCCAGCTGAGCCGCTGTTTTCCAGCTACTGTCCCCGTGAGTACAAAGGTGTCTGAGAACAACTGAAAGACCGGCCGTGTGGACGGAAAAGGGAAAAGGAATCAAGTCCATATACGATAAACTCCATGATTGCATTTTAAACTGAGAAATCAAATGCTAAACTGCTCTTCTAGAGATACACTGGCAATGTATTGCTACACCGAGACACGCACAGAACTCTTGATCACATCTGATGCTGTTAAACATCCTGAATCATGAATGCAGTCACTGCTTTTTTTTTTTTTTTTTATGAATGTTTGTACAATTGTCAATAAAATGTTGATATTTTAGATGCTAGTCCGTTGTTTCATTTTGAAAGACAAGATTATGAGGTAATTGGTTGCACATTTATTTTACATCCAACTATGAACATGTTACACTATTTGTATAGTCGTCTTCATCCTGGATATTCACATTATAAACAGCATTTTCAAATCTGATAGTCCTGGAAAAGTCTGTTTGGGTAGACGCCATGCGTCTGTCAGAGAGCGCCATTCCTGATGGGTTACAGTGTTACCAACCTGAATCACAGCAGGCCACTCATTCTTTTAAGAAGCGTGTTCTGGTCCTGGGGGTTCATGGCCTCGTAGTTGTCCAGCTCCAGGGAGAAGGTGGCGTTGCCGGATGTAAGCGTTCGCAGGATGGTGGAATATCCCTTCACAAGGAAACACGTGTCAGTAAATTAAACCGAAAACATACAGATAAAGTGTTTGAATCAGATGTCACCTCACCATCATTTCTGCCAAGGGCACGGTCGCTAGTAGCACCTTGTTGTCATGACGACTCTGGATGTCTCTGACGGTACCTCGTCTTTGGGCTAAGTCCCCCAGCACGGAGCTCAGGTGTTCCTCCCCAACCGTCACCTCCAGTGACATCACTGGCTCCAGGATCTGACTTCCTGCTAGCCTCAGGGCCTGCGTCCAAACAAACACGACTGTAGCTTCTCTACGGACAACCATGCAGTTTACAGTTCTGACATGAGAGCCCATGATGTTTTACCTTGAGCATGCAGCGGGACACACAGGCAGACACCATGGCCGGAGACGTTCCTGGTTCCATGGCGACACTCTGGATCAGTGTAGATACACTCTGTAAAGGATAACCTAGCAATGGACCTGAGGGTGTAAGCAGACATCAGTCAGTCTCATTATATAATAACAATCTGACATGTTTACATTCCTTCTTTAAAAGGCCCTGAAAACTATTACACTCAGTTTCTTACTGCGTGAACACAGTTTTGTGTGTGTGTGTGTGTGTGTGTGTGTGTGTACACTTTGTCCTCAGGTCTATCCTGTAAAAGGGGATCTTAATCTCAGTTCCAGATTAAATAAAATTTAACACCCACACAGCTTTGAAAAAAAAAAAGATTTTTTTTTACTGCCCCTGCATCAGCGACAGCCGGGGCCAGAGACAATATGTTTTCAGCTTTTCCGTCCGTCCCATTCCTGTGAACGTGATATCTCAGTAACGGCTTGAGGGAATTTCTTCAAATTTTGCAGAAACATTCACTTGGAGTTCAGGGTGAATTCATAAGAATTTTGTAGTAAGAGGTCAAAGATCAAGATCACTGTGACCCCACAAAACATATATTTGGCACAAATTCATACACTACGACACAAGTTCAAGTTGATGTTCTGCAAAAACACTTCTGGCCATTTTTCGATGCCGTAACTCAGGAAAGGGAGATTGTGTAAACCGAACATTTCCTGCAACAGCTGGTTGGTGGAGACATACAACTCTAGTTTTCACATATCACACAGAAGAATTAAATCAATCAACCACAAGCCAGTTAACAACTTGTTTTCCTGAACTTGAACTTTGTTGTTTATCTAGTGATAAAGATTTAATGTTTGAGAGACAAGTTTTCAGGGCCTTTAAGACAGAGAATAAATGAGTTTAGTCAGTGTTACCTTGAAGGTATGAACTGTGCACTCCATTCTCCACTGCATCTTTCATTTCCTGTGGTATATGCCCCCCAACTTCATCTGTGAAAGCTAATTCACATGAACCACTTGTAGAGATGTCCACAGGCCTGACGGCCAGCTCCACTGTCGCAACATGTCTTCTCTCACCAACTGTCCGGTCCAGTGTATCTACATTATAAGCAATGAGGAAAATCAATGCGGGAACAGAATGTGGTCGACAGGAATGATGTCTCCCCCACCTAATGCACCGATGTATGTTTGCTGTACCTGCCGCAGAGGCCTCGTGGAGAATAGTCTCCCGATAAGCCACCTGTAGTGGTCCAAGGTGAGTCTCGATGCCGTACTCTCTTCTGATTCGATCATGGATGATCTCAATGTGCAGCTCTCCCATCCCACACAAAACAGTCTGAGAAAGGAGAGTGAAGGACATTTAGTTGACTCACTCTGGCAGAGGCTCTGACCTGGTTAATCCAATGATGGTATTACCTGCCCAGAATCAGGGTCAACCCTGACTTTAAGACTGGGGTCTTCTCTCTGGAGGCAGTTAAGTGCATTCTCAAGATCTTTCGGGAAAAAAAACAATGTGTGAGTGACAAGTTTTCTGGAGTGAAGCTCTTGTGCATGTGTAACAAAGCTATAACCGCTGTCACTGACCTGCCTGCTTGGCCATGGTGGGTGGTTCTATAGTGCAGAAGAAGACGGGATCAGGGACCTCCACTCCTGAAAGCACCACAGTCGCATTTTCCCCGCCCTTCTTCCCCACCCCGCTCTCATTTTGGGCTCGGCGGCCTGCAGCTGCTGCCGAAGCCTTGGATGAAACGATGGTGTCCCCTGTGACTGTCTTAAGAGAAAGCAGAAAAAGTAAACAACCTTTTGAGGAAGAAAATATTCAATTTAGCATATAAGGAATACGGTATGTGATGTTCTACCTGTTTCAGTCCTACAGTTAGTGCAATGTTTCCCGCTGTCATCGAGGGGATTTCTACATGCTGATCAGCAAACGGCACCAGCAGCCTGCTCATCCGCTCTCTACAGACAACAGGATGCAAAGATGAGAAGGTTTGACACATCTAATCATCAGGGTCAAAACTGAGTGGGTTACATTTCCAAGGGAAACGACATACGTGCTGTTCCTGTTGATGTTGTGGACGGCTGTCTGTGGTTTCAGAGTACCAGAGTAAATCCTCAGAAATACCAGAGGACCGCGCTGCTTGTCATGGAGAACCTTGAAGGCCAGAGCACATAAGTCATCTTTGTACCACCGCCTGCGGGATGAGGAATGTAAAAATAAAAAAAACAGGGCTTACTGTCTGACAACAATGACCGAATGTACTGTTTATAGAAACATATTTTCATACTGGCATGTTACAGTAACTGAAGGACAATTCCAGCATCATTTGACTTTTGGCTCATTTTTATGTGTCTTCTATCTATTTACCAATAATTGTGATAATAAGTGATAGACCAATGAATTTGTCTGATATCTGGCATTTTGAGATAAATAGCATCCGCCATACCTGCGCTCATGAGGCTGATAAACAGAAAAATGTCTGTAAATGTAAAATGTAAATTTTAAAAGTTTAGTTTTTTGATTACTTGTGGAAATTCTTTTTTTTTAATGTAAAATAATAAGTAGCGTGCAGAGTTACTTAAACCAACAGACACATTTTTTTATTTTCAAATATTTTTCTTTGTTCAAGTGATTAATATTTTAGTGTTAAATATAAATGTTCACTACATTCATAAATCTTGTGTCTCCTTTGTTATTATAATTAAAGTGATGTATTTCATCAGATGCATTAAAGAAAAACAACATTTAAACACCCATATAGCTCATATCAAACCAGTTCATTCATACCCATTAAATTCCACGTGATGAGGAAACTTTCCACTGAAACAGTCCACAGAATTAAACTGAAACTATCCAACGAGCCTGGACAAATACTCTCATCATGCTGGAATCATTCTTTCACTCAGTGTTATGACAGTTCTGGTCAAAGTTGGTCACATATTAAATAGTTCACTCACACCAGGTCGTGGTGCCGTTCATTCGGGGCGGGCAGGTAGGCGATGATGGCATCTAAAAGAGGCTGAACACCTTTGTTCCTCAAAGAGCTCCCACAGAGGACTGGGACGCCTTTACGGGCCAGAGTCACCCGCCGCACAGCCTCTTGTAGCTGCAGACACATCAGCAAAGTTTACTCTGTATTCACGACTAACTGCTACTGCTACTTTCTAGGCTTCTAAACTGGGATGATCCCACTTACTTTGACTGAGGGGACTGCATCAAAATTATCACCAAAATCAGTCAGCAACAGTTCAGCAAACTCGTCATCCAGATCAGCAACCTGTGATTGGGAAGAGAAATACATACTGGAGAAAAAAAACTAACAATCAACAACATCATTCATCACTGCTGAAAACGATATGACATGTACCTGTTCGATTAAAGCCATCCTGGCCTCGTTCACCTCCTGCAGGAGTTCTGGCTCATCAGACTGGTCGAGAGGTTTGCTTTCAAACATTCGTCCATCATCTCCCATAGATCTTAGCTTCCATATCAGCTTCTGGTTGGTTAACAAGTCAACCACACCTGTGAAGTTCCTGCCGCTGCCAACAGGAATCTACGAAACAAGATTCAGGAGACAAATAAAATACATGGTGACATGACTCCTATTATGTTTGTTTCATTTACTTCCTTTGTATTGTTCGTTAGAAATTGTACAGTAATAAAAATACGTTTTGACTACTTGAACTACTTATTTCAGTCATTACAAAGTAATTCCTTTAACGGCATTTAATAATTACCCTTCATCAAAGATTCACCTCTTGTTTTCTTACCTGCAGGAGGACTGGATTCGCTTTCAGCTTCTGTCTTATGCTCTCGATGGAAAAACTCAGGCTGAGAGAAATACAAAAACAAAAATAAAGGCAGTTTCCAGTAAAAAAATTTGGAAAAAGCAAAATAAGTGGTACACAGTATGGTTGGACTGTTGAGTCACTCACTTGGCTGCAGGTTTGTCCATCTTATTCAGAAAACAAACACAGGGAATGTGGTGCTTCTCCGCTTGCCTCCACACGGTCAGAGTCTGAGCCTGTTGTCAGGGCAACAGAAGATGCTGTGATCAGAGTGCACCCAATTTTGCAACACAGTAATTAGAGAAAAAGCTGTTTGAAAGCAACAGGCTAACCTCAACACCAGCTGAGGCGTCAAACACTGCAACAGCTCCATCAAGAACGCGAAGTGCCCGCTCCACCTCAAGAGTGAAGTCAACATGTCCTGTGATCACACACACACACACACACACACACAGAGTGTAGTTTGAGGAGCCGCTTCTTCTCATTTCCATTGGGATATTTTAGTCTAAGAAGGATGCTTACATATAATATCTCTACCTGGGGTGTCTATAAGGTTTATTCTATAACTTTTCCAATCAAATGTGACTGCTGCCGACTGTATGGTGATGCCGCGCTCCCTCTCTTGAGCCATAAAATCTGTGACTGTGTCCCCGTCGTCTACATCTAAAAGCAACAGTGACAGAAATAAGCCGAGAGGCAGAAACAAACAGGCAGTCTGTAAGTTGTAAAGAATTAACAGTGTTCACATCTCTTCCTCCTTCACACCTCCTAGTGCCCTCGTATAGCCAGAGTAATAAAGCATCCTCTCTGTGGTTGTCGTCTTTCCTGCATCGATGTGGGCCATGATGCCGATGTTTCGGATCCTGCAGATACAGCACACAAGTTAACACGGAGCTGAACCTAAAGAGTATTTCAACCAAGTGACTGCAGAATGCAATTACTTACTTGGATATGTCCGGGTTGACCACGGCCCGCAATGATTTGACATCATCTATGACAGTGAACATGAAGTACAACAATGACGATCTGACTGAGATAGTGGTGCTGTGTGTAAGTTTCTGTTACTGAATATGTTTTTCCAAAGAATCAATTATTAATCAATGCAATGTCATAAATAATGACGAATGCACAACTGCTCACGTCGGTCAAAAATAAAGCCCCAAAAAGTATATGTTCAGTTTCAAAGTTCAATCCTCGACCTTGCAAACAGCAGCTGACAAAACAAATTCCATTTAGTAGCAGTTCTGGAGCTTTCAAACATATCAAATGAGCTTCATTTAGCAGGTGTCATTCTAATCACTAACATAATCTGATGTGTTCTTCTTCAGATCAATGTCTCTTCTTATGAAATATTTAAATATTAAAGTCTACATTTCCACAACAACGTGGAAAACGTATCTGCTGGTGAAGATCATGTGATATGATCAAAAACCTCAGCTACTAAATGGACTTTGGTGGTGGTGAGGATAGTAAATAAAAGATTTACTGTGTAATGATGTGAAACTGAAAAAAGGAAGCAAACAAATGTAATATTTAAACCAGCAAACGTGTAACATTTATAACTGATGACTGAATCCAATAATTGATTACCAAAATTGGAATCAACTAGTTTCCTGTTGCTTGACAAATCAATAAATCAACTAATTAAAAAATGTCCGTTAATGGATCCAGTTAAGAAAACAACATACCTGGAAGAAAGCTGTATTGTCTCTTTACATGACAGCTTACTCTGCATCTGCAGCTCTGCAGCCCTGCAGTTAAAAAATACCTTCCCTGTGAACGACAACGACCCTGTTATGAACTCAACATAATATCAATATATTGTATCACTGGCAAAACATATTTTAGAAAAGCTGTTACTTACCCAAATCATCCTGCTAAATGTGCTAAAGGCTTTAACACGCATCTTTGATGTCTAGTTATCTTCCAAGCTTCTCCCACAGGATGAAACAAAGCTTCAGGTGAGCCATAGTGGAGGAACATTAGTTAAAAGAAGCAATGTCTGCCTATTTTTAATGGCTGCACCATTAGCAGGAGGAAGAGGGAGACAGAAAGACTACTGCTATAATCAGCAGAATAATACTGGACGTCTTAAAGACTGGAAGCATTAAAAAGGCATTCAAGTGTCCTACAAAATGAAGTAATCTTTCATACTGTCACAGAAGTCACGCTTTCATAAGGTACATCCCCAAAATAGATTCATAGGAACAAGCGTGTAAGGCTTATAGTTCCGGGTATGAAAACAAAACTTGCTCCGTCAATGATAAAATACTTTAATATAAATATATGTATATTTAAACATAAAATCACACATGGATTACATTCTGTAATTATATTTTTAAAATATATGATAATTATGTAATTTATCCTTAATCGTTAATAATGGACCAGTGTCGCGATAAGCCGTTCATATTTGATCTACGGACATCCGGTTGCATCACGATGACGTACTTCCTCTAAGTTTCGGCTCCGGGGAAAACAACATCTAAAGGACCCCAGCCTCAAGAATAAAACACCGAATATCCTGCGTCTATACCAACTGATATCATCTTCGACGGATTCATCGTAACACGTAACTTCTTACCCCCAAAATGGTAGGGAAGCAACCTTTTAAACTGTATTATTTTTACTTTAATCGGGCAGTTTAACGCGTTAGCATGTTATAGTAGCATTAGCTTTGGTTGACATGTGGCGGGGTGACGTACTGCTTTACTCTGTGTAGGACGGGTTTCTGTGTATAAAGTGTTTATATGAAAACTGTTTGACCTACACTGACGAATGCAGTTGTAATTACAGGTGTATGAGCGTGAAAGCTCTGTTTCTGTGAAAGTTGCCTCACTTGTTTACCATTCATATGGCGTGCTCAGTTGTAGATACGTGAACGGCGTCACACAACCTTAAAGTTCTAAACCTTTACCTGTAATATTTATAACATGTTACCCAGTCTAGATCTATCTGTGCTTTCTGCATGACATGTCACTAGGTGTTGCCTTTGACGTTGATCTGAATTTGAAAATTAAGCTGAATTGTTTTTGTACGTCTTCTGATTGCTTGTCTGCCCAACCAACAATAACAAACCGATATATATACAATTCTCAGTGATATAAAATAGAGTATAGCAGCAAATCTTCGCATTAATGAAACAGGAACCATATAATGTTTGGCGTTTTTTTTTTTTTTTAAATGTATAGTTTATCAATTAATTTTGTTTAAGCCATGAAAGTATCTGAAGATCAATGTAATACTGTAGCTAACTGGAAAATGTAGATGCCTGCCTCAAACCAAACCTGTGAATTTCTTACACTTCATATCAAGAAAAACTGAATTTCGTGTTTGGTTTTTCATGTGTAGCCCCAGAACGAGCACATTGAGTTGCACCGCAAGCGGCACGGCTACCGCCTGGACCACCATGAAAAGAAAAGGAAGAAGGAGAGCCGTGAGGCCCATGAGCGGTCGCACAAAGCCAGGAAGTTGATTGGTTTGAAGGCCAAACTGTACCACAAACAGAGACATGCAGAGAAGATCCAGATGAAGAAGACGTGAGTATAGAGGGAGAAATTTGGCTTTGTTGAAAACAGTGCTTGTTTTTCTAGCTGGTTTAGAAAAACAAAACATGAAAACTGTGCCTTATTAACAGTCTGACAAATCTGACTTGTATCTTTGCAGCATCAAAATGCATGAACAGAGGAAGACAAAACAAAAGAATGATGATAAGACGCCAGAGGGAGCAGTGCCAGCCTACCTCTTGGACAGAGAGGGACAGTCCCGTGCTAAGGTCCTCTCCAACATGATCAAACAGAAGAGGAAAGAGAAGGCTGTAAGTGTTGGCTTGTCAGCAGCATCCATATTTGGTGCTTTTACGTGTGGAAATGATATCAATGTTGTCTAAACCCATATGTGTAATATTTTCTGTAGGGTAAATGGGAGGTGCCCCTGCCAAAGGTGCGTGCCCAAGGAGAGACAGAAGTGCTTAAAGTCATCAAAACTGGAAAGAGACAAAAGAAAGCCTGGAAGAGAATGGTCACCAAAGTTTGCTTTGTCGGTGATGGCTTCACCCGTAAACCTCCAAAATATGAGCGTTTCATCAGGCCTATGGTAAGATCACATTGTTGTTTTGAAATCTTTTAGACATTATGTGACAATCTACACTTGAACTAAGCCCCAACAGTTTTTTGTGTGCATTAGGGTTTAATGTTGAAGTTGACTTTTGTTTCAGTTGAAGTGCCTTACTCCTAAATCACCTGTTTCTCCATGTTCTTCTTCAGGGTTTGCGTTTTAAGAAAGCTCATGTCACACATCCAGAGCTGAAGGCCACATTCTGTCTTCCCATCCTTGGAGTGAAGAAGAACCCTTCTTCACCTCTCTACACCTCTCTGGGAGTCATCACAAAAGGAACAGTAATAGAGGTCAATGTCAGCGAGCTGGGTCTGGTTACACAAGGAGGAAAGGTTGTCTGGGGTGAGTGCTCAAGTCTATGTGAAGCCATAACAGCATTGGTGAATTTTTTCAAGGTACTTTGCAGGCAGGTTGTTCCAAGCGTCTTAGAGAATGTACCATGCTTCTTCTGTAGATTCAGGCTGTCTCAGTGTCTTCTGTTTCTTTATACACATCTACAGTACTCAGTTTTAAGAAAATATCTTAATTAGTCTGCAAATGTGATACTAAAAAAAATATTTCTGGATATCAATGTGGTACTTGATAATGTTTTAACTAAAATTTCTTCTGCTTCTCAGGTAAATATGCCCAGGTGACAAATAACCCAGAAAATGATGGCTGCATTAATGCAGTCCTGCTGGTATAAGACTCTCAACCTTTATACAGACTGTGCCTGGTAACTCTTAATTACCACAAAGAACACAAAGCTGCAACATGCAAGGGGCTTAAAATCACGGGATTTTCAGGAAGATCACGGATGCAACACAACAGTGTTTGGACGTTCAGAGGAAAATAAAATGAGGTGATTACTTTGTTAAACTTGATATAAATAAACTTGATATGACACCAGATAATGCTTTTGTCCCTGTCTTTGCTCACTAGTAAAATATTCCACATAATAATAATAAACAGTTCAGCAGTTGAGTCAGTTTTTTTGTCACTGAAAACAGAAATTATTGAATACAGGAATTATTGTGAAAATCAGGGGCTGAATGATCCTAATAAAGTAAATATGGATTAAGCTGTTCCATAAAGCCAACTCATAGTTTGATATCACACCAATTCATTCATTGTTCACAGCAACACATTTGTTAAAGATAATATGAAAAATGAAACAGCAGAACAACAATAGCAACCACATTGATTTACAGAAAAGTCGCAACTTTTCTTCAACTAATTCAGTGACCTGTCATAGTTTCAAGACACATTCATTAAGAATCTCATAGGAAAAAAACACCATCTTTGAAACTCTCATTGTGACATAAAAGCATAGATCAAACCCCGTATTCAGTTACAAAGTATAATATTCCAATCTTATTATTTCTTCATTCAATTAGCGCTTTCATCAGCTCCTTTATTCAGTGTAAGCGAGAGGAAACATTGGAGAATGCTGCTGACCCTCTTCATGGCCCCGAAGTCAGACAGAGAAACCTCCAAAGAGACATCTAAAGAGTTCAGTCAGGTTTTCTTTGTAAAAAAAAAAAAAAAGTGCACATTGTGATCGAACGTAGCATCCATCCGATTTTGATATCATAAGTAGAAGTGCAACTTTTTGTCTACCGTCTTGCAGCCAATGGTAGAGAAGATTCTTTCAGATTTGGGGAAATAGACTAAATCTTTGGCCAGCCTCTCTGCCACATCCGGGTTTGGCAAAATTCCTCTGGTTTTCATCTCAGCCTTGACACACTGGATGACGTGGTTGTACTCCAGAGGCAGGAACGGGATGAAGTAGTCCACCATTTTCTTCGAAATCAAACTTGAACGAAAAAAGCCACCTACAGAGAGAGAGTTTAATAGACATTTCCAGTAGTAAAAAAAAAAAAGGCCATGTTTTTGTTTCATGCATTCCAGCATTTATACTCACTTTGGGTGTTGTTGAACAGTGATAGAGAAAGCGGTGTTTCCAGGTCTACAAGCTTGATAGCCTCCCGTCTTCGTCCTGCTTTCTTGAAATCTAAAGCTGTCTGAGCGATGACGTCTCCCCCTTCATTGCTATGAGGAAGATCAGAAAAAGGCCACATATTAGAATTTGCCTCTGTTTATCTGTTGTTACCAGTGGCCATTCAGAAAAAGCTATAAACCCTTTTCAATTCTAACGTGGTCAAACAACACGCCATACAAAATAGTTCTGATCAAGCGTAACCCAACCCTGAGGAATACATTCAGCTTTTCACCTGAGGAAGATGAAGATGGCTTTCTGATAAGAAACTCCATCCAGCTTGTCATAGTAGTCCAGGTATGGCTTAATGCTGTCCATCAAATTAGGATCCATCTTATCCACCTCATCAAAAATGAACATGGAGCGTTCACAGTCGGTGATGCCCTCTTTGAGCCACTGCTTTAACCGAATCTGAGGAGAAACATTGGCAACTTTAATTCATACAAAAGGCTGAAAAAGAACAGTGTCACTTTGTTTTAATTAAAAGTAAAATAAATCAACTTATTTGTACTCCATACCTTGTAGGTGTGAAGATGTTGTTTTGGATGTGGGAAGTGATGTGTGGCTGAGAAAACATGAAAAAATCTGCTCTTAATTCCCTCCTTGTAAATGTTTTCAGCAATCAGCTGACTAGCAAAGTTCTTCCCTGTGCCGGTCGATCCATGCAGAGAGAGCACCAGAGGCTTCTTTGGGTTGTTATTGCTCATGAATCCTTCCACAGCTTTTAAGATGCTGTGTGCTGCGATGTGCTGTCCAAACAGTTTGAGGTCGAGGTCATCCGCAAATCCTGGAAAGTAGAAAGCAGAAAGTCAACAGGAGTATTGGCTGCAAAAATTGACTGAAAAACCTCACTCTGACTGTTTAGCTGAGGTGGTAAGCCACCAACATCTTGCCTTATCTCACACCATAGTTCCCCATAGTCTTGTTTTCTTCCACTATACCTACATTTAAGTACCAGCAGGTTTTATTATTACCTTATTCATACAGCAAATCCCATACACTAAATCTAGGGCAGTATATAAATACTGTGGGAAAACCCTGTATCTGACTGAAATCTAAATCTGAAACAGTGTGACAGGCACAACAGTGCAAAGATCAAAAAGTGGGTGATGGTATACCTCTGCTACTTCACTGGCCTGTGACACTATGAAGGGTTTACCACTCATGGTTTACTATAATATACCACTTCACATTAGTATCCACAGATCCTTAGTAGCAACCCCCTCTGATGAAAAGTTTTTAAGCTAGTTATCATGTCTATATGGTGTTCTTTATATAATACCAGACATTTCAAGAGAAAAATAAGCAGTCAATGTCATGACTGCATATCTCCACCTTGGAACTGCAGTGTACCAATAACAGTCTCATAAAAACAGATTCAGACAGCCAGGGTTACGCCACAAACCTAAGGAACCAATCCTGTCAATTTGTGGGGATGTGGGCAGGGAAAATAAACCTGAAACATTATCAATACAGAGAGGGAGAGTTTGCATTAGCAACACTACTAACACTTTGTCAGCCATCACCAGTTACAAGCTAACAAACAAATAAAAGATGCTAACTGTGCTAACCATTCTGATACGTCTGTTAGTCGCTCATTTTGATCACAACGGACTCCTTGTCTGAGTCTGGGTCTGACTGAGGCTCAAACATGGGTGGTTCAGTCTCACCAATGTTTTCTCTAAAACTAACCATTTTGAAACACCAAAATCACCAAAAGCTTCTCAGTAAAAAGAGTGACAGTTTACATTAGCACAATCACTAACACTAACTGTCAGTCGCTGCCAGTTACAAGCTAACAGGCCAACAACCAACATGGGAAAATAGTGGACATTATATGATGTTAAATGGCTATAACCCCCACACAGCTCTTTATATATTGATGTAAACACTCTAATTAAAGAACTTTAATGCCCTGTCCATCATTTTGTTTCAAACTGAATATACTGAACTCACTCACACACGCTTAACATTTACTGAGGCATTTCTGTGAGCAGTAATCTGGGGAAGGTTTTCTGCAGCAATGCCCGGATGCTGTCCTCCCTTATCAAGTGAAGTCAACTTTATTGCTAGAGAACACTTAAGCACAGCTTGAACTGACCAAAGTGCTGTACAAAGTATAATAAAAATAAATAAGATTACGTAAAAGTAAAGCAAGTAAAAACAAATGTATAAAATAAAAACATACGTAAAAACACAAAGAAAGCATATTAAATATATTGCATACAGACACATGTTTTATTCATTTTAAAGAGGCTTATGATTCTAAGAGCAGTTATAAAATAAAATTCTCCAAATTAATTAAGGGGTTAAAACTTTATGACATAATTGAGTCAATGTAGACCTTCTGTACATCTGTAATAAATGTGGAGTAAAACTTTACAACAAAACTGCAGATTTCTTCATTCAAGGGAGAGACGTCTTTCCAGACAACAGCTTATCTCCAACCTTTAACCCTTAACAATAAGGAAGTTAAATTCAGGCTCCATGCTGATTACCTAGTGTTGCTGTCACCCACACAAGGACTACAGCAGCACCTGCACCTCCGGTCAGAACTGGGCATCGACAGTCAACTTTAACATATCTAGATCTTCAAAGAGTTGAATACTTTGAGAAATTTGATTTGTTAATCCCAAACTTCATAGAAGTAGATGACAGTGAAAAGTACTATATAGATGCACATTAAAACAACATCAGTGACAAATAGTTACCTTGACAAAGTCTATCATATATATAAAACACACACAAAACGAAAAAAAAAACTGTTTAGTGTTTTGTTTTAATCCATTTATTTAATTCATTTTACTTGATGAAATATGTTGTTTGTTTGTTTGGTTTTTTTTTGGCAATAACTGTTCACCTGACATTCATGCCAATAACCTTACTGAACTAAACTGAATTGAATAGAAATGAATGTGTGTTACCTTGCCAATTGAAAGAAATCCACTGGCGTCCACAGCACTCATAATAGCAGTAAATGTTCTGGTACCTATATACAACTCCAGTCAGAGTCGCAACAACGCCGACCACGGCTGCCGCGGCGACGTACTCTGACGCCTCAGCCACTCCGGTGCAGACCAACATCCACAGCAGCAGGACATGTTGCTTCCTCGGTTTCATCTCGTGCAAGTGTTTCTTATAAGTTAAGAAAAAGTAAACTGTCTAACAGCTCGGTGAGGCGGAGCGAGTAAACATAGCTGGAGGGCGAGTCAACAGCTGGTGGTGGAGTGACTAATTACAGCTGGGGGTGGAGGTGCCGCGGTCTTTAATTTTGATTTTTTTTTTTAAATTTTTTTAAATAAACTTTATTTACACAAAGGAACTGACTTTACCACCCCAAAGGCGCAATGTGTGCAGGAGTTGGTGCATAGATTATGATACATAAAAACAAACAGTTTAATTCATGAATTACAAATCAAATTCATTACACAATACTCTAGTTTCCAAAGGTCATTCAATTTTGAGTTAAGTATGTCATTTTCTATTTAAATTAGCAATTTGTAAGTTTTACTATCGCTACATCTAGCGTTAGCCTTAACAGCTCTTTACTTACCAGTCTAGAGGAAACGTTTTGAGCTCAGTATCAAACTTCATTCCTTTACTTTCCAAGATCAGTGTCCAGTGGTGGAAAGCAACAACAATGTTAAATCTTATCACGTCTTTTCTGCTTTTAAAGTTAGCATGCTAACCAGCTAGCCCCAGCCCATCTCCTCACTTTCCTATAGCAACTCACTGTAGCCTCCAATCTGACCTGAGGACGTAGGGCTGCTCGGAGAGCAACACTTGAAAGAGATCAAGGTTTTTATCCATTTCTGTTTTATTGGTAACCATAGACCTGAATCCTATCAAAAAATAAGGGCAACATGTTGTCAGGAGGGTGAAAAGAAATCTAAAGAATAAGAAAAAATTATCTATAAGGGCATTACTTCTTTAACAATTACAAACTGAAATAAACTGAAACTAAAGACCCACAAAGTCCAACACTGTTAATAAACTCATATGTATGTCTCACTCATAAGTGGACACGTGCAAAATAAATATGATGAGATAAAATGGTGAAAGTAAGAATTAAGGCAGGTGATTTCCAGTAATCCACAAACATTATATGAAGTACACATTAAAAACATATTAAAACAGTGACATGTCATAGTTTCAGGACTCATTCAGTCATTAAGTGTCTCTCAGGAAGGCAACACCATCTTCTCATTGTTGTCACATAATAGTGATGATCAAACCCCTTATTCAGTTGCAAATGATAGTATTCAAATCTTATTATTATAAGCGAGATGAAACATTGGAGAAGGCCTGCTGACCCTCTTCATGGCCCCGAGGTCAGACAGCCAAATCTCCAAAGAGACGTCTAAAGAGTTCAGTCAGATTTTCTTTGTAAAAAAAAAAAAAAAAAAAAAAAAAAAAAAAGAAGTGCACGTTGTGATCCAACGTAGCATCCATCCGATGGTGATATTATAAGTAGAAGTGCAACTTGGTGTCTACTGTCTTGCAGCCAGTGGCAGAGAAGACTCTTTCAGATTTGGGGGAATAGACTAAATCTTTGGCCAGCCTCTCTGCCACATCCTGGTCCGGCCGAAGTTGTCTGGCTTTCATCTCAGCCATGGCACACTGGACCACATGTTTGTACTCCAGAGGCAGCAATGGGACGAAGAAGTCCACCAGGCTCTTGTCAATCAAACTTGAATGAAAAAAACCACCTACGGGGAGAGTTTAATAGATATTTCCAATAGAAAAAAATCAATTTTTCGTCATAGGTAGTTTCTGAGTGATAATTACAAAACAGCGTTATCTGTAATTTATACTCACTGTCTTTGTTGTTGAACAGTGATAGAGAGAGCGATGTTCCCAGGTCTTTGTGCCCGATCTCCTCTCGTTTTCGTCCTGCTTTCCAGAAGTCTAAAGCTGTCTGTGCGATGTTGTCCCCACCGGCATTGCTTTGAAGAAGATCAGAACAAGGCAACATATTACAATTTTCCTCTGTTTATCTGTTGTTACCACACTGTTTTAAACCGATGAAAAAAAAAATCAATATAACAAATACAGATATACAGTATACAAAGTATAGTCTCATATACCTACAATTCTTTCTTAATGCATTGTTACTATTCAATTGCTCTGAATTTTTTCCTTTTCAGTACTTGCTCTTAACAGGACCCTATAAACAGACAAGTGATACATTTTTGATTGATACCTTTCTATGGTTCAAATGAAAAAAGCCAGTATATCATGTCCAAACTGCTTGTTGGTTGGTCAAACAGCTTCAGAAACTCAGATAAGAGGGGCCTGTGTCTGACTATTTCTGTGACCTTTCCAAAACCAAAATTCTACCATTCAGACCCTCTTCACACCGTGATTAACCAGCTGTGCAGAGATGAGAAAGGATCCAGGTTTTGAACTTCCCTCTCTAGGTCTATTTTTTTCATTCTTGACCCAACAATTTCTGTCACCCTTCAAGTCAACAACCAAGTGCAACAGTATGAATGCCTTCCAGGAGAGACTGCCTGAAAATGTTCACTCTGCCTTTGAGTGTGGCCATTAAGAAAAATCTATTCTTTCAATTCTAACGTGGTCAGACAACACGCCATACAAAATAGTTCTGATCAAGCATAAGCCAACCCTTAGAAATATATTCAGCTCTTTACCTGAGGAAGATAAAGATGGCTTTCCGATAAGAAACTCCATCCAGCTTGTCATAGTAGTCCAGGTATGACTTGATACTGTCAATCAATTCAGGATCCATCTTATCCACCTCATCAAAGATGAACATGGAGCGTTCACAGTCGGTGACACTCTCTCTGAGCAGCTGCTTTAACTGATGCTAAGGAGAAACAGCAGCATGTTTAATTCATACAAAAGGCTGAAAAAGAACAGTGTCACTGTGTTTCAATTGAAAGGGAGATGAATCAACTTATTTGTACTCCATACCTTGTAGGTGTGAAGATGTTGTTTTGGATGTGGGAAGTGATGTGTGGCTGAGAAAACATGAAAAAATCTGCTCTTAATTCCCTCCTTGTAAATGTTTTCAGCAATCAGCTGACTAGCAAAGTTCTTCCCTGTGCCGGTCGATCCATGCAGAGAGAGCACCAGAGGCTTCTTTGGGTTGTCATTGCTCATGAATCCATCCACAGCTTTTAAGATGATGCGTGATGCAACATGCTGTCCGAATAGTTTGTTATCCAGGTCTTTCTTCAGTCCTAAGAAGTACACAGCAGAGAGTCAACAGGATTAGTGCTTTTTAAGCTATTCAAGGCTCATTGAACGGCATGTCCATGGCATTGTGGCAATTTTCATAACATGAAGTTGTTGTAACTCTGTTATACAAGGTCCAATCTGCCCCAAAATTGGTCAGAAAATGCATAACACCCTTATGATGCGTCACGGTGAATTTTCGTTGAATGGTGCAGCTGTGATGGCGCTGCGAATTTTGATGTTTCACAATTAAACAGGAAGTTGTTATGACTATAATATACATTGTCTATTCTGCTGCAAATTTCACGTTTGATGACAGTCATACACATCTGCATGGAAAAAAGGTAGTTATAGTCATAGCGCCACCTACTGGATACAGGAAATATCCCCCTTGAGATACAATCATCATTTCATTTACATGATTTACATGAAATTTTCATGTTCTGGTCTGCACTTGATATACAGCATATAAAAGAAAAAAAATATGCAATAATAATGTCAAAAAAATGCATGTTTGGTGCATCTTGCATGCAACACGTTGCCTGCCGCCATGCAGGAAGTCTTACTCGTAAGCGCAGTGTCCCATGGTTGTGACGATGCAGGCTGCTTTAACAGGCCTCCTGCCAGCTACTCCTGCTGTCCACAAAAGGGCCCACTCAACACTGCTTGCAGCTTTAATTTCCTTTTTATTTCCTTTATTGGTGACATAACATAACAAAAATAGGTGTGACTGAAATGGTGCAAAAGACCTAATGGACAGAAATGTAGACGACAACAAAAATAAGAAGTTATTGAGACAGTTATGTATGACAGTGTGTGTGTGTGCATGCACATGTTTTGATGTTTATATTAGAGGTAATCATATGTACTGTATCTGTGTTTTGTGATCCTGGGTAGACTAGTTTATGGTGTAGAGTGTGGCATGGTAGCATGAAAGGAAAGAGGGTGAAAGAGAAAGTAAATTGAAAAAAAATAGAATAAAATTGTGTAAAATAACAATATAATATTTACTATTATTATAATTTATAGAATAATTATGTTTTAATATTTTATTATATTATACGTTATGTTCAAAATCCTAATTCACTCGCAATGGAGGAAAAGCTTTTGTAGAGGAGGTAAGCACTAAACAGAAAGTGGTGTAGTTCGTTTATAGCATACCATTAGCTTTTTACTTATAGCCATAGTATCTGCTTCAAAAGTCAAAAAAGTGGTTCAGTCGAACTTCCGGGTTGGCACACAGAAATACGTCAACCCTGCAGCATTCTATTATAGTTAAAGCTGTATTGTCTGTGGCGTTTTGTCAGTATTGTTCACCTGACAGTCATGCCAATAAATCATACTGCATTGAAAAAAGTCAGATGTCGTGGCTAATGTGTTAGTAGGACAAAGGTGTTACCTGTCGATTTGAAAGAAACCCAGTCTGGTCGACAGCACTCTTTGAAACGGCAGTAAATCATGGGTGAAAGCATCGCCGCAGCGGCAGTCCCTGCCACACCGGCCCCGATGGTGAAGGGATCGAACGCCTCAGTCGCGCCGGAGCAGACCAGCATCCACAGCAGCAGAACGTGTCGCTCCCTCGGTTTCATTTCGAACAAAAGTTGCCTATTGACGAAGACAGTAAACTGTCTAAAGGCTTAAGGCGGAGCAGATGAACTTCGGTAAACTGGAGGCGTGATGGGTAAATAATTTTTTTTACATAAACTTTATTCACACAATGGAAGTGACAATAGGTTTAAACAACTGTAAGAAGCCAATGTAGCCTATGCTCAAGGTAGTGCACATATCATAATACATAAACAATTAATAAAAAAGAAAATTAATAAATAAAAAACAAAGTTAAATCATTACATATGGTTCTAGTTTTCACAGCTTTAGAGCTTTTAGTTTATGCAGTATTTTAGTGTGTCCAGGTAGGACATGAGGATAACAAGGTTGGGCTTCTGTTTTGCAATTTTGCCGGTATGTATATAAAGAAATGACATTAATAATATACATTTTTTCTTGGCAGGCATTTCATCAGCGAAATAAATGAATTAAATTTTAACTTAAGTATCTCATTTTTTGTTTGAAACAGATTAAGGTCATGCCAAAAAGACTGACTGAGTGAAAGTACAGTCCCAAAAGAGATTAGTAGCTGTTCCACCTGTGTGGTGACAGAATACGGAACAAAAAATCCTGAGTAAGCCCTGCTGCCTGGCTGATTTGGGGTAACATTTGCCATAGCCTCAGTGACCTTTGAAAGAAGTACCCACTGTACTTTGACAGGCAGAGCACACATCTGAACAGACACAAAAATTATTAAATAACTATGCACGAACAAAAAAGCAGCGTCCATCCTTCCTTATGCAAGCCATATTATAATAGAGCAGTATTATAGCTTTTTATGACTATTTCTCCACTCCTGCTGACATAAAAAAAAATGCACTTTGCATATTTTGATGCTTCAAACTCACAGCTTTATTGTATCGAGACCTTTCACAGTTACTTTTGTTGCAAACATGCTCTTCAACTCTGATACTGCATTTCAGCTTCATGCTTTACTGGAACCTCACTGTCCGTGGGCGAAGGACAAGCCCTGCCTGCAACACGTACCTGCATCTACCACATGATGTCACTGCTTCTCTCTCCTCTTTATCTTAGGCAAGGACATAAAACTATTCAATCATTAATTTAATCGTACCCCTCTGGTTCATAAGTCATGCAGTGCACTCATCAACCTTGTTGTGAAGGATGCATCAGGAACAGTGACTCAAATAAAATTTCAGATTTTCTTATTTCGAAATTTCTTATTTTATTTGTGATTTGTTTTTTCTGGTGGTGTTAACAGGGACACATCTTGATAATGTCATCTTTACAACCACACCTACAGTGTTCCTTCACAATCACAGTAATCTGTCAGAGGTCTATGTATGATTTAACACTTCCTCCTCTTTAAAGACAAAATAGGATTCTGCTTTAAAAAAAACATTTTGGCTGGATTGGGGCACAATTATTACCCACAGTGCCTGGTCATCACCATGAGCTTTGACCTTTGACCACCAAAATCTAATCAGTTCATCCACAAGTTCTAATGAATGTTTGTGCCAAATTTGAAGAAGTTCTGTCAAGGAATTTAACTGAGATATGTCCACAGGACTGGGACGGATGGATGGATGGACAGATAACCCGAAATCGATATGCCTCTGGCTGTCGCCAGCGCGGATTTATCAGATTATCAAAATAATCTGACTGGCCAGATATTATTGCTGGCGGGTTTGATTGATACCTTTCTATGGTTCAAATGAAAATGTTTAGAGACTTAAGAGCATGTATACTCTAGTACTAGTCAGAACTGCTCGCTGGGTGGTCAGCTTCAGAAACCCCCTCCTCACACATCTTTCCAACGTTGGATTAGACGCAGCTGTATCCAGACATTTCTGTGACCTTTCCAAAACCAATAATCCACCATTCGGACCCACTTCACACCGTGATTAACCGGCTGTGCAGAGGTGAGAAAGGATCCAGGTTTTGAACTTCCTTCTATAGGTCTATTTTTTATTTTCTTGACACAACAATTTCTCTCACCTTTCAAGTGAACAACAACCAAGTGAAATACTCTGAATGCCCTCCGGGAGAGACTGCCTGAAAATGTTCACTCTGCCTTTGAGTGGGGCCATTCAGAAAAAGCTATAAACCCATTTCAATTCTAACATGGTCAGACAACACGCCATACAAAATAGTTCTGATCAAGCGTAACCCAACCCTGAGGAATACATTCAGCTTTTCACCTGAGGAAGATGAAGATGGCTTTCTGATAAGAAACTCCATCCAGCTTGTCATAGTAGTCCAGGTATGGCTAAATGCTGTCCATCAATTCGGGATCCATCTTATCCACCTGAACATGGAGCGTTCACAGTCAGTGATGCCCTCTTTGAGCCACTGCTTTAACTGATGCTGAGGAAAAGATGCTGTGTGCTGCGATGTGCTGTCCAAACAGTTTGAGGATCGAGGTCATACGCAAGTCCTGGAAAATGCAAAAATTATATTTTCATTATCTCTCCAGGCACTGCGGGTTAAAGCCACTCACTCTATGCTTTTAAAATCATGTAAACGTCAGCTTTAATACACTCGTTAATACACTCCTAAAGACTTGGTACTCTCACCTTGACTCCTCTCTCATGCTCTGATCCTCTCCTCCACTGACACCTTCCACTTGTGGCTGACAACTAGGCCTACTTTCAGTCCTGACAAATTAACTAGCTCATCAGTAACATGAATTAACATTTCACAAAACGAAAAATACCTATTCATTTATTTATTTTTTTAATTTTACTTAAATATGAAATATGTTCTTTTGGCAGTAGCTACTGCTCACCTGACATTCATGCCAATAAGCTTACTAAACTGGACTGAACTGAATTGTAGTGAATATGTGTTACCTTGCCATGTGAAAGAAATCAACCGGTGTCCACAGCTCTCATGATAGTTGGAAGTGTGGTACTTATATGAAACTCCAGCCAGAGTCGCAACAACGCCAACCACTAATGTTGCTGTGAAGCAGACATCATCCCACGCCTCTGCTACTCCGGTGCAGACCAACATCCACACCAGCAGGACATGTTGCTTCCTCGGTTTCATCTCGTGCAAGTGTTTCTTATAAGTTAAGAAAAAGTAAACTGTCTAACAGCTTGGTGAGGCGGAGTGAGTAAACATAGCTGGAGGGTAAGTGAGTAAACAGCTGGTGGCAGAATGACTAAATACAGCTGGAGGTGGAGTTGCCGCGGTCTTTAATTTTTTTAATAAACCCAACAATGGGGCAATGTGTGCAGGAGTTGGTGCACAGATTATGATACATAAAAATAAAAACATAAAGAAATAAAAATGAAAAACAAACATAAACAAACTTAAATTACATGAATTACAAATCAAATTCATTACACAAGACTAGTTTTCACAGCTAATTCAATTCTGAGTTAAGTATGTAATAGTCTGTTGAAAATTAAAAATTGAAAATTAGCTATTTGTAAGTTTTACTATCGCTACATCTAGCGTTAGCATTAACAGCTCTTTACTTACCAGTCTAGAGTAAACGTTGAGTTCAGTATCAAACCTCATTCCTTTACTTTCCAAGATCAGTGTCCAGTGGTGGAAAGCAACAACAAAGTTAACTCTTGTCTCTATCATGTCTTTTATGCTACTGAAGTTAGCATGCCAACCAGCTTGCCCCGGCCCGTCTTGTCACTTTCCGATAGCATCTCACTGTAGCCTCCAATCTGACCTGACGAAGTAAGGCTGCTCGGAGAGCATATTATAACCTCATATCTTCTATTTGCAATGACAATCATCACCACCTGCTCCCGACAAGAAACCCCAGTCAATGTCATAGAAAACGTACAAATAGCCCCTTTAAAACAGATTAAGGTCACACTGAAAAGACTAGCTGAAAGTACAATCCCAAGAGAGATGAGCTGACGTTTCATCATGGTGACAGAAAGAACAACGATTAGCAAGCTTCAGTTGGTGGATTAAATGTTAGACTATTACACTCTACACTCCACTTTTAAAATAAAGTGGATGAGAAAGTACTTGAGAAATCTGAATTCATTATAGAATTATTTCAACATATATATATTTGAAGCCTAACAGAACTTGAGGTACAGGTGAAACTGATGATCTCTCTCCAGGGCTCCTCACCCTGTGATAGTGAGTCATGTGACGACCAACCGATGCCCATCCATCCACTGTACCGCAGTACATGATGTGAGCTGCAAGAATAAAAGGAAGCACAAATTACAAATTAAATGGTGAACGCAATTCAAGAATATAATTGAAAAGAAAAAAGAACTGCGCAGTAAAATAATGATTCAGTTACCGTCTTTGTCATCTTTGAATATATGTACTTTTTCAGCAGTAGCCACTGTCCACGACCTCCTCAGCAGACAGACACGGACGAGAGCAGCTGGCGAACATAGTGGAGCATTAAGAAGCTAAAGAGACAGATTTCCCTCAGGAGCTGGTGGAGACCAAACACAGAGCTAAAAGAGAGGGAACACTGGACTGACATCATCATGAGACATCAGGTGACAGACAAAAACACCTCTCCAATTGCAACAAATGACATAATTTAGATAATGTCAATCAAAAAGGTATAAATGAAGACAGAAGAAGTTGGTCCTCCTGTCTTCTCTTCATCTCTCTCAGGAGAGAGTGGTGCTGGAGCGAGGGGAGGACCAACAGCACTGGATGAGGGGCAATGCTGGTTCA